AACGATTTTGTAATATTTTAATGGTAATATTCACTGTTTTATTAATCAATAAGTTTAGTATCTTGTATATCAGGTTGTTTTTAATTAAAATATCTCATTAGATTATTATTCGAATTAGGAAAAATATAACATGTCTTTATGTTCTTCTTTATGTGTGTTAAATTATTTCATTCTTTTAATCAGACATCCTGGTCTATAAAAAATATAGTATTCGAAGTACGGTTTCATTTATGGCACTCCATAAAAAAAAAGTAAATTAAAACTAGGTATATAGAAATTAAAATACGTAAATAATAGTAGCCGTATTTTGAAAACAATGGTAATGTCAAGTCTTCCAACGCCATCTAGAGGAACACAGTGTAAGCATTTCATTTAACTCTCACCTGATACTGTAATTAATGTTTATTTGTACATATAGATGGCGGTGTACGATCCGTGATTTTGTTTCCATTATTATATTACAAGTATAGTGATAATATTCTATTAAGATTATTGATTTTGTCACTGACGATAAACATTGTTGCAAAGATATATTAAAGATATGATTATTTGTATTTTTTTGTACATTTAAATGAGTTTAATTTGGTGTTAAACAACGTAGACTGAAGGCTAATTTTTGAAATCATTACGAACTATTATCATCATTAGTAGTGAGGGTCATTAACACGCCGCGATGACTCACGAAATGTAGCCATTAAAACAACAAATGAGGAAAATATATAAATATAACCATTATATTAATAATATACTGAATAATAGTCTACAGTTAATACTTTCATAGAAATAGATTCATTCATATCTATATATAGGTGTTACAACACATCCATTGTTGTGTTTAACCTCTTCTTGACTAATTTGACTGCGAAGCCGATAAGTGTATTACGCGTCTTGCTTTTGACTCAACGGAAATTTACATTTTAATTATTATCAATTATAACATGCACTTTAATAGAAATAAGAGTCGAATCAGAATTAGTTTTATGACCTTCAATTTAATTCGTTTCGATATCAAAATCAAATAATCTTTAAACGTCACTATAGCGTCTATAATCCGCCATTTTCATTTATCCTTGTCTATTTGATAATCTATGGGCTACAAATTATCATTAAACATTTAACCAGTTCGCAATATTTAAACACGTAAATTTAACAAACAGCTTTCCTGTTTTGGTCTTATTTAAATCAGATGACTATTTTATATTTGCCAATTGAATTTATGTTGCAGTTCTTTTGTCAAGATGTTCAAAAACAGTGATTATTTTATATATCCTTGGAAGCCATTCCTAGTATTTCTAAATTCGCATTCTACATACATAGTCGTGTCTGTATTGGCTTAGGACGATCATGTAGACTCGTAATTGTAATTAATATAAATAATAGATGCTTATATTCTATTAAGTTTATTATACGAAAATCAATTTCCACCAGATGATTTATATAATATATGTAGGTACAGTAGGACCTCGATTATCCGGACTAATTGTTGTCGGTAAGCATCCGGATAAGTGAAAGTCCGGATAATCCAATATATGAAGAAAAACGGGCTTTTTGCATATGTACATATGTAGTCTGTACCATACATATGTAATGTTAGGTGTTTATTTAAAACAACAAATACATATGAGCGAAAATCAACGTTTATTAAGAAATTGTACATAATGTACGTATAAGTGTGATAAGTGGCGTGGCGTTGTGCAAGTTCTGACATGTTAATCTATTCATACAATAATAAAATTGTAGAAAAGTGCTGTCTGTACATTGAAAATAAAAATAAAAAAAATAACAGGGATTATTGTTATGTCGATGTCGAACCCAAAAATGTAATTAACTTTTTTTTTGTCTGTTCACGCTAATCTAAGAAACGGCTGATCCGAGTTGGATTCGGTTTTCACGAATATATTGTGGTATGCTTCAGTTATGCTTTAGTGTTTGTTTCATGTCAATTGGTTCATAAATAAAAAAATAATGTCAAATTAAAGAACTGAAGAACTGCGTTCAATATTCGACCGGGTGTGTCAATTGTATGTGGCTCTGTCCCGTGTCAGCAATCCCAGCAGCCTGTATGCTTTCATCCCCGATGGCCATACGTCTAATATTGTATATAGAGAAGCATTACAGTAAAGTAGGTTTTTTAGCTACCCAAAATGACTGTGATTATGATCCAAAATAAAAATAAGTATATATTTTTAAAAAAATGCTGCTCATAGTCACTATTCCACGCGAACGAAGTCGCGGGCACGGCTAGTGTTAGAATAAACTCGTCGCGATTGGCAGTCCGGATAATCGCGAATTCGGATAACCGAGGTCCGGATAATCGGGGTCCTACTGTATATATTAATTTGATCTGCGCTATAAAACTTGTAAAATTATATTGTCTGCAATTACAATTGGGATACAAAACTAAATTGAAACTATCTAATTTCTTGACAGACAAAATGTGGCGCTTTTCGGACAAATATAAAAATAAGGAAAAAATTGTAAAACAATTTTAGAATGTCAAATTTACGTCTAATTTTAATAAGAATTCATAAGTAAATATTGTTCAAACGTGAGATGGAAAATTATTTATTTTGTAATATTGTAGGAATTAAATTAAAACATCCTGTATAAGTTCTTTAAAGAACTGTTCCTTATAATAAATGACTTTGAAGATAATTATTGTGATAAACCGGTTTATAGATATATATTGTTTTTATTTGAAAAGTGACACTGGAACGGTTAAAACTAAGATAAAAATGTAATTTGTCTTTGAAACAGTTACATATGATTAACATAAATTATTAATTCTATAGTTATTTGAGTTTTTTTAATTATTCTAATTAATCAAAAATGTATAATCATTAATTCTCAAAAGAAGTTTGATAAATATAAGGTTTTATAAATATTTATTTTTGTCTATGGATCGAATGTTTTTTAAAGATTGAGATTAAATAGTCGTCTAGAGTTTAAACTAGTCAGTACTCAGTAATTTTCGACTCCCACGCTCGAATACAACTTAAATGATTTTAATTGAAGCAAAAATTGCGCTGAATTAATGCACGTTTCTTGACTAAAATATTTTATAATTTTGATATTTTAAATTTAGTTATTATATTGTAACCTTTCATATGATTGTAATAAATAAAATTCACATGCCATCGATGTATTTATTCTGTTCAAATGTATGCAATTTTAATTTTAAACAATCGCATTACCAGAATTATATTGAAGTAGTAAAGATTTTACGATCTCTGTAAAGGATAACGCGTCACAAAAATAGCCCGCGGCCTGTCACGGGGTTAATGACATCGCATTTGATGTTCCCGTAAAAATAAACTCAAAATTAAAAGTAGTGACGCGAGTTTCAGGAAGTATTAAATTCAAGTAGCATTTTTATATTTCGGTCGCGTTCCGAATGAATGCAATTTAACGAATTCCTGTAAGCGAATCCGTTTTGAGACAAATAAATCACATTAACGAGGATTCGTTGCATGTCATTTAAAAACGCGCGAAAATGTCACCGTTATTATTGTGAGCATTTTGCGAGTATAGTGATTACCGTGTTGGTTACTGTGAGGTAATCGCGTTACCTTGAAGGAGCCCTTTGGTAAGGTAAGCATGTGACCTCATTTCCTAAATATGGATAAGTTTTGTAAGGCCGCCGCCGTCTTTTTATTACTCGATAACTATTTCGTTCGATAACTTTAACCTCGTCTCCGTTTCTTTGCCAGTTACGAATAAAGGACAACCTGTAGACTCAGGTTTCAGAGTTCTTTACAGAATTTATAATCATTATAAACGCAAATAACGAGAATATAAAAAAGAATTAAAAAATAGAATATCGATTTGAAATCGATATTATAATATTATCGATATATTTCGTTTACATTTCTATAAGCAATTTATCGCAAAGTGCCTTAATAATTCCCGAGTGAGTGGTTACTTAATATGAAACATCATTAGACTGCAGTCGAGAAGACAATATTCCAATTCCCGTCTGTGTGTGGGCTCATGTCTAACAAATAATAAATTAATGGCGCGCAATGACGTCAATTAAATCACTTGTAAGTCGTATGTCGCATTCAACCCACGCGTTGTTTGACTAGTGAGTAGTGACTCCTAAAGGATACTTTTCTTATACAGTTTGTACGTTCTTTGGAAACGTTAAAATTAGAATATCCGTTAGTTTGTGGATGAAATTCATTCAGTTATAAGTTCGACGCGATGCAAACGTGCTCTAAAACAGTGTTCGTGTGATATATAAAATGAAATAATTACGTAAATTGTGATCACTCCGATTCTGCTTTGGTTGTTCGGCTTGTGTAAGAATTAATTTAAATACGTTACAACAATTTATTTCAATATGAATCATAAATTTCAATGTAGTTGATATTATATTCAATAATTAAGTATAAGAACAACTAATGATAATTCGAGCTGTATAAAACAAAAACAATAATAGTTAATTATATTTTAAACTACATAAATAAATTAAAATTAAAAAGACTATACAAAAGCATAATCATTTCCAAATAAATACACCAAACGACTATCTATTGACACATTCTAATGAACATGCATGACTAATACATAAAAACTAATCTATTGTTTACATAGGACCGAATCCGATAGTGTTTCAGAGTCAGGAGTTGGGTCTGGAACGTCAATTGTCAAAACAAAGCATAAACATCACATATGACTCACGAGCGGTCTCATTATGATATCAGCACAACTATACGTTACTAGCGACTGTTAGTCGTTAAACAACACTGCTGGCATATCGTCGTATACAATAATGAATAATAATTCCATATTTAATACATGTTTCCCGTTCATCCAAGGCCGTATTTATGATCGCGAGTGACACAGTTCAGCGGTGTGCGTGTTTTCCTCAACGAACAAAGGGATCGTCGGCTAAAAAACACTTCTTAACATACCAGCCGTGAGCTCTACACGTGAATGCATATTAAAACGGTACGATGGGACCGAACGCGATTTTATAAAGTAATACGAAAGCAAAAATGATTAAAAGGAACGGTGATAATGTATATGCGATCGCGTCAAACAATCAGTGTCAAGGCGGCCGGAGTTCCGTCTCGCTCTTCCCAAGCGCGACGAGGATACCGCGGGCCACAAGCAGGATGACGCCGAACGACGCGCCAAACACCAAGGAGGCCAACATAGCACTATCAACTTACGTCGAGAAATGGAAGACGAGGTACGAGGACTCCGAGAGGAAGCATAAAGCCAACCTCCTCAAGTCCGAAAAAGGTCGGTACTATTCATTTTATAGCGGAAATCTTTAGTGATACTATTGTGTCCCACTGCGCATGCGTCGAACCCCCGGGTCATATGCAAACGAAAGTGTCAAAGAAAATCCTAGCCGCGTATTTGTCAGCTTATGATACGAGATGACCTGTTGCTCACACATTATGTATTCTAAAACTTATCTCGAGCACCAATACTGTTTTGAACTTATTTTACTCGCCTTTTTTGTTATGAATCATGGCTAAGTAATATTAGAATTACTATATTTCACACCGAGGTTTTCCTGCGCAATAACATGGCGTAATATAAATATCATTATTAAAATGTCAACAGCTACATAGCTACAGCATTTCAATATTATTTTAATTTTATCGATAAAATTTCACAAGATCACTGATAAGAGTCCTAAAACGTCAATTAACAATTTGTCCGATCATAAAATTCAAATGAGCTACGTAAAATGATTTAATACATTTAAAAAGGATTTTTATTTTATAAATCAAACACCAAACTCGTTTTTATGTTCATTCTTACGAGTTATCTTACATATTTGTTGTTATACGTATATATTGAGAAATAAATTGTTTAATGTACAAGTATTGCGTAAAGCATATTTGAATAAATATAGGACTCGTGTTTTTGACGGAAATCGGAATATTAATAATTTCGTACATAAAAAGGATTTACAAAATTTTTAAGAGGTTAGTTTTAGTGACATATATTTTTAAAAACTTTCAATGAATTTAAAAAAGCTGTAGATTATTTAAGAATACTTTAAATAATCTTTCTATGAAGTTTTCTCGAGTAAATAATAAAAACGCTTTTGTTTCTAATCTACATATTTTTCTTTGTTATACATAAATTAATCCATATATGTACTAGATTATAATATTTGTCTAAACAATTAACAAACAAAGTTGTATTTCAATTTATCTCATATTTCATCTAAATATCTATAGAAATAAGTTGTCTTGAATATCATTGAATCTTGATAAATAAATTTTAACATATATATCAACTATAGTCATAAAGTAATCTTTGTTCCATTAGATTATTAAAACAAGGTTATCTTTGAGTATATATTATAATATCTTATGTTTTGAAGTTAATATAATAATTTTCATATATCCACATTTATACAAGTATGCCATCCATCTATCATATAAGGAAAGTTTCTCAAAAACTAAAGTATGTAACGGGTTAAGTCAACAAATATTGTAATTCTCTGTTTAATGGATAGTATGTAATTTTGTCTTAATTGTTCTCAAATCTGAATTAGGTGTATTAAATAAATATTAATTAGTGAAGAAAATTATAACAAATATAGTTATTTTAGTCGCAACTCAACCAGGCTCTATAAGACATTCATAGGTTTGTATCCTTGATGGATAAATATATATATAAAGATATATATATATATATACATATATGTATATATAAAGATATATTTGTATTAACAAAGACTAGTTATTGAAGGAAAACATTCCGATGAGATAAGGTTTCCATCAAGAAATCAGATAAGTTCGAATGTTGTTTTCTTGACTTACATTTGTATATGAAATTTTACATTAAAGCTATGAACTAATAGAAATATTTAATTGTAGATCTATTTATTTATACAAATAATTGTTTTAATTAAATTCCTTGTTTATATACCGGTGTTAAATAATTCCTATATTCTTTCACAGCTAATTGTGTTGAATGAAGTGTTGAAGGCTGTGGTATATAATTATTACATTATATATTAGTAGATATATGAGAAAAATCAAATCTTTAAACTTTATTATTGCAATATTTATATATTTTCATATTTACAACGGGAAAAGGTTGTGTATGTACTTGTATATATTCTCAAAATCGTCTCAATTGTAGCTACTTTGTGGAATGTTTTCAATACATAAGGCTTATATATGCAATATTAATTATTTAGTATATATTGTATGAAGTATATAATAAATTTATTACTACATATGTTCAAGTGATTATACTGGTATGAACTAATAATTACTTCGAAAGCCGATAGTAATATTTACTTTGTTGATAACAATGTGTTATGAATATCAAATCATTTATGTTAATACTACTCAGTTATTAAAATTTCTTATTATGTGCTAATTTAAAACTTATTAAATTTAATTTTTCTTGAATGACTGAAGTATAGGAGTAATAGTATAGGAAAATTTTATTTTTTAACTCAATAAATGTGTCTAATATATTTATAATCATATTATTTTATAGAATTTAATGAACAGTTTGTATATTTTTTTATGCTGTGGTTTAATTTGCACTGGAATCTAAGTTGAAATATTTTTTAGGAATTAATATATTAATTTAATTATATTACTGGCAATGTTAATGATTCCGTCAAAATTTGACATAAAACAAAAAGATTACTGATAGTTCTAGGAACAATTGCAGCAATAAGTTTCTTGTTTATACAGAAATTCATTTTTATAAGGCTCAGGATAATAAAAAATAATTGGCCATATATATAAGAAAAAGAATAGACTGTCATTTTAAAATGTACTCTTAATAAAGTAAAAAATAATTAATTAAATGATCCTTATTAGTCTTGACCTACAAGACTATTTTGTTTGCAACTCAATTCTAGGTCAACTGTGTACTTTGCAATGAATATAATGTATTTTTAAAACCCATTCAAAATTTTTATGTTCATGTATACTCATAAACTTTCACATTCGCGGTTTAATAAAGATGTGAGTTTCGACCTAATTCCGGAGTCATGACAACGATTCCTTAGAAAATAATAAAAGGAAATAACAAATGTACATTTTCTCGAAAATGATAGCGAAGTTGAATAAGTAGTATAATGATGTCAGTTCATTATTACAGGCTACACTATATCGCGTATCTGATATGATAGTGATTTTTCATGTAGCAATTTAAATAAAATGTATTTCGAAGGCAGTCGTAGTAGGTTCTTTTCAAATTTGGTAGAGAGAGGAGCTTGGACAGTGGAGGTGAGCGTTTAACGCGTTAGATAGGGCCCCTTAAACCTACACCTGAGTCGCAATTCCCAGTTACTGTTGAAGCTCCTCTCTACAACGATGGACCCGACACACGCATATGAATACATTGAATGATGAGAAGTTTCGCCTCATTATTTTTCCTATATATAATGTAATTAAATATATTACAACAATTATATTTACTTAGTGCATTGTAACTCTTTGTTTGCTAGATAATACCACAGGTGCATAACATTCTTATACTACGTAATAATTATCATTCCATATATTACGTATCTATTTCTAAACATTCTCCATTCCATTCTTCTTCAGCCAAACGTGAATATGACGATCTTCTCCGCCGTTTCAACATCGTCACTGAAGAAAGGAGGCACTTGGAAGCCGAGCTTCATGATAGGGAGAAAGAGCTTAATAAACTGCGAGCTGTTTCCGAGAAGCTGTTCCGGGAGTACCAGCAGCTTAAAAACCAGCATGAGATCGATTCGGGGGTTATGCAAAAGTATGTATATTATTTTGTATCAATTTTTTTTCTACTTTTATATCTAAGACTCGCGAGTATTCATCATCAGCCTATCAGAACCCACTGCTGAGCATAGCCTCATCTCACACGGAGAAAGTTTGAGCATTAATCACCACGCTTGCTCAATATGATTGGTGATTTCAAACTTATAATTGTGAAACTATAAGTCCAGGTTTCCTCACGATGTTTTCCTTCACCGTATGTCAGTGATGTCTAAATACTCTCATTTAAATGAAACTAAGATTTTCTGAGTACGCGTATTTTATTATTATAATTGTTACTTTTCAGCAATCTTGATCTCAGTAGCAATCCGAATAATATTAGTTTCATTCAAATATTCACTAATATTCTCGTTTTCCCTTCCCTCCTCTTACATTCATACATTCAGTATCAACACATTCTCTAATGCTAGGAGTCTGTGCCCCTACAATCAGGATTTCCTACAATTTGCCGTCCGTCAACGGAAAATTATCCCCAACAATTATTAGAGGGGAGGCGAGCGTCATTATAATATGGAGGGTAGATCTAAACGGGCGTAATTTTATCTAAAATAGACTCTGTTTTAATGTAATAAGGTTCAAAATCGTCTGTAGTATGTAAATTTTGATAATTTATGTTCTGTTGAGTTCATAATACGTGATTGTCGTATTTATCAGTCGTCTAAATGGTTTATAACGAGGGGAAAGTACTTAGATTTTAATGAAATACATAAATATACATTTATTAATTGATCTACGTATGTTAAACTTCATCCCTACTTCCCTACTAATATTATAAATGCAAAAGTAACTCTATCTGTCTGTCTGTTACGCTTTCACACTTAAACCACTGAACTGATTTTAATGAAATTTGGTACAGAGATAGAGTTGACCTTAAGAAAGAACATAGGATAGTTTTTATACCAGACCTTTGAAAGGTTCTGTTGGAAACGCGATATAACTGAACTCCACGCGGGCGAAGCTGCGGGCGGAAAGCTAGTAGTCATATATAATATAACATAGCTTCCTGGTTCCTTCCGTTCAATCAGCTGATAATATCTCATCATCAGGAAGTTTCTGGTGATTACTTTATAACCCTTACCACGGGTTCGCATTGTGAAACTAAATACGGACAGTTGCTCTGTTTATTCATAAACTTCCGTTTGACATTTTCTTGGTCGAAGATAGATCAATGAATGATTTAAAATTCCGAGTAAACCGTTTGATGTTGCTAGCTTGTGATAATAGATGGTTCGTATTTCTGATTAAAAGCTATCTCTTTCTTTCTCACTCTCCCTTTTCCTCTTTATATATATTTACATATATATAGAGAGAATATAAAATCTTTAGGTATAGTCAATACCCGTTATATCATAAGAATTATGAATCTTAAATAAAAAATTACTTTCATATTTTTATCATATTTAATGAAATAGTCAGTGGTGGCCTAGTGGTTAAAAGACCCGCCTCTCATTCATGAGGGCGCGGGTTCCATCCTGGTCCTGGCAAGTACCAATGTGATTTTTCCGAGTCCATATGTACTTCCTAATAGTATTTAGACGTCACTGATTATTGCATTCCCAAAGAGGGTTGATGTCAGAAAGGCGGCCGGTCATAAAAACAATTAGCCAAAACTATTCACAACATGTAAGGCAGACCCTGGCCAAATCTGGGAAATGCCAGGTAAAATGAAATATATAAAAAATTTTTTTTTTATCAACAGCCATTAATAATAATAAATTATATATAATTAGTTATTATTAACTAATAGATTTAAATTTAGTCAAATGAACGTGATTAGTTTCGTTAAATTTGTAAATCTAGTTGTAGTATTAATACAAGTTACAACTAGTAATGTTGTAATGATGTTGTAACATCGTATGTGTCGTGAGTCGTGAGGATCGGTCTTACTTTATTATTATAATATTTACAATATAAAAATGTAAGTAACGAAACACTTTTTCTAAAGGTTTTTTGTCCAAATATTTGTACATAGTCCGAATAGCGCAAACACGACATCCACACTTGGCATACCAACAACACGTTTACGCGTTTTCGCTTATTTGTGTATGTGTCTTATTTGTGCAAATATGTCAAAAGAAGAAAAATAAATCATCCACACATGGTCTTATTTGGCCGAACACAACAAATACGCGAATACGCAACGCCAAGTGAAGTGCCACCTTAAGATATTATTACTCGAAATATGTGATATTTTATGATCTAGTTAAAACTGTACAGACTGATGTATTAAGTCATAGATTTATGAAGATTAATTGCGATAACAATAACAGTATTCAATTATTATCAGATTATTAAGAGACTAAGTTTCCTCAACCTTTATCAAATACTACTTTTTGCCAGCGACTTCGTCTGCGTTAGTTTTACAGTTAGAAATGTATAGCTGACTTGAAAACTCTATTCCTCCTTAAAGCCAGTAGTTCAGATTTTGGAATTGATCAACTTATTTTTTTCTTTTTCTATCTGATGAAAAAGTCTATGGTCAGTGTCACGGAACTTAAACAATCAACTTTTATCCCATATTTTTGAAAAAATACACTGATTTTAAGTTTATGATTAGTTATACCCTATATTGTATTCTAACTTCTGAGCTATATTGCTGTAAAGTTTCATTATAATTACAACAATATTAACACCCAAAGAAGATCTTTAAACAACTTACTATTATTCTGAATGATGATCAGTTTTCTTATATAAAGGGTGACTGCTGAATTACTATCAATATTTTAGGAGAATACTCGGTACATGATTCTCATTCGAATTATGTAAAAAAAATAGGCACTTAATTTTTGACCAAATTTCCGTATAAATAAATAAAGTGTGGACACGTTCCAAGTGTTCCAAGTGTGGACGCGGCTTGCGGCGTGCTGATACAACACATCGCCGCCGCACGTGTGAGTGTGTGTGTGTGTATACCTAATCTGTAGGGTGTTCACACGATGCGTAATTAATAACATAACTTTTGGTTAACTTTACTTAGAAGTGTATTAATATTTATGTTATATTAATTTTTATTTTGTCATATATGATCGTCAAATATCACGTCCTCAAATATCGATAGTAATTCACCAGTCACCCTGTATATAATGATGATGATGTAAATGTTACAGGGTGATGCAGCAAGCGGGAGAATGGTACAAACAGAACAAACAGCTGAAGAGGAAGAGTACGGCTTTGATGATGACCGTTGGAACTGTTGACATAGACCTGGACGCTACTGATGCAGGTAAGAGAACAGGCCTTGATAGGTATTTGGAGGTCATCGACCCTGGTCTTACAGATGTTCATAGTATGAATTCACCAGTTCACTAGTTTATCATTTTATTTTATTTTTCATTATATTTTGATTGCTGTAACCTGTTCATATTTCTCTGTGTAAAACTATTTCTATTAATTGTAAGTGTGTTTTCTTATGTATTGTTTAGTGCTAATGTATTTTTTTTTTATAAGTGAAATATTTAGTAAATAATTTGTGTTCGCATAGTTGTTGGGTTATACTCAGTTCATTTATAATGTTTACTCATCAATTATTTTCATATTTAGTTATAATTTGTTGTGTGAACCGTAAATAAAAATAAAAAATAAAATAAAATAAATGAATAAAAATATATGAAAAGAATAGCTTATGTATGGTCTCTAAGATATAATATTACTAAGTACAAAGATATAATATTACTAAGTTCTAAGCTTTTTATATATAAATTTTTTTTATGATTAATCAACAATACAGGGATACTCAGAATTTTTATGTGTTATAGTAAAATAGTAAAGAATTTTGTGGAAAAAAATACACATTTGAATCTAGAATTAAACTCAATTTTTTCAATAATTCTGTTTAATATTAGGTTCTAAATAATTGTATTGAAGTAAGAAATAATAAACATATTATCTTTGTTTATAGTAGCTTAAAAAAATAATGTTTTTATTTTTCAGCCTCCGATTCGAGCAGTAATGAAGAAGTGGAATTCCTCAAACGAACGGTCACAGAACTTAGCGAACAAGTGGCTGCCCTACAGACCGACGCTAACGCTGCTCGCTTACAGGAGTTTGAAGCACATGAAGCTACTGTACAACTGGCACAGGTCGGTGTGACTGGCGGACTAATACATGTTTAGTTTAGATCATCATCAGCCTATCAGAGCCCACTGCTGAGCCTCCTCTCACATGGAGAAGGTTTGAGCATTAATCACCACGCTCGCTCTCGGGTTTGCGATTTAAAACTTATAATTTGATAAGTCCAAGTGACCTCACGATGTTTTCCTTCATATGTCAGTGGAGTCTAAATACTCTTAGAGTACATATGACTCGGAAAAATCACATTGGTACTTGACAGGTATCGAACCCGCGCCCTCATTCATGAGAGGCGGGACTTTAACCACTAGGCCACCACGAAATTAGCTTAGTTTAGACAGAAACATAATGTAATAATGGAATAATATTTACAGGAACTTGAAGCTGAGAAGGAAAAATCTGCGGCTCAAGAGAAAGAGTTACAAGAATTAAGAAACCAATTAGAGAGACATAACAGAGTGTCCAAGTTATTGATGGACGAGATGAGCGAACTGAAGGAGAACGCAGACAAGGACAGACAGATGGCTGAAACGTGAGTTAGAAAGAGACGGAGATATGATACGAGACTTTGAGAGTATAAAAATGATGTATGAAATAATAGAGAGAGAATGAGTGCGAGAGAGACGGAGATATAGTGTAGTGACTCAGATTGTAAACTTAGATTTCAAGCTATCGTTTCATTTCCATACTTCATTTTAATATATTCACTCTAGTCACATTCTTTTCATATTGTCTTCAAACTGCAGTTCCTATCAATTTTTAATTCGTTCGTATTAACCTTCTGAGTTTCTTTCGCCGGTTCTTCTCAAGTCAGAGTACTTTCTTTTCCGAACCGGTGGTAGTGTCTCAAGTGACCATCAATAAGAAAGTGTAATGCTTATATATTGAATAAAGTTATTTGAGTTTGAAACCATAATAGCGCATAATTCTCTGAGCAATCTTGTAGCAATATAACTTTACTTGAAAATAATCCTTAACAAAATGCTGGAATATTTGACTGTGTGTATATATAGATCCAGGTCGAGTCATGTGTAGAATACTGTCACATTTGGACAAGTACTGTCAAGATTTTCCTTTTGGGGTTAAATCTTGTGGAAAGTTCCAAAAAGATTTAAAGTTGATCACGATTTGATTTAAACCTACCTAGTTTTGTAAAGTAGTTAGCCATTGAGTGTTTTATAGGATAGACTTGTGATGAATTTTATTCATATAATTCTTCTATCCTCTTTTTAAATCCCACTTCTTTGTTCATTTACATCCTTTCATGGTACATTCAGACAAAACGATATACTCCCTCTTTCCTCCTGTGTACAATAAAGGATTTAGAACAGTGTGACTGCATCTTACTTCTAATTACTATTTGGATGTTTTCAAGTGTGAATAGTCTAGTATTGGGATAGTGAGTTTACTAGACTTTGTTTTTTCATAACAATATACCACATGATAGAATAATGGTAGTGAAATACTATTTAGTTAACATAAATTAATAAGAAAGAAGGATAAAAGTTGCAAACTAAAGTTATATTTTTTTATAAAATCTCTAACAAAGTTCTTTTATATCTAGATACAAAACGGAAGCCCGGGATGCTAAGAAGCGCGTCAAAGTTTTAACACACCAGAGTGCGCTGTTGATGGGAGAATTGGAAGTAGATGAACGACTTGGATTACTGTTGGGGGAAGTGGACGCGTTGAGAGATGCTCTGGAGCAACAGACGGCGAGACATAGAGATCAATTGGAGGAATTACAGGTGAGGAGCGAGGGAGGAGGGGTTAATGACCTTTGGAGCAACATTATGCCTAAAGATCATTATTTATTTATTTATTAACACCAACAAGACATTTTATTTTATTTTTTTTCTCAAGATATAAGCACTTCGAGGAGAAATAAACAAACTTAACAAATCAATTTTAATTAAAATACAGAGTGCGCAAACAAATAGACGGTATTACAAAAAAAAAAAAACTTGCTAAACAAAAACATTTGTGAACATGGAGGTACATTTCAATAATTGTCTAGTGAATTTATATTTTAACATTTACATTTGTTATTGAGTATAACATACATTAATAAAAGCGAAAAATACATTATTGACAAGTATGTAATCATAAAATCATAATGTCGTCTTAATTATAGATGTTACACACATTTCAAAAATAGACACGCAACATGCAGATAAAATTATATTGCATTAATTGCACAAAGGAAAATTAGAAAAAAAAAATACTAGTAATAATCATCAACATAAACATTAAAAAAATAGTTATGGTTAAAGATCATTATTCTCATAAGAACATACATAGGTTCACTTATATGAGATTAAATAAAGTCACTTTACAAGACACTTCCTTACTTGTAATAAGTACTAGGGTTTAGCGAATGAAACACTATTGGTCCAGATTTTGATTATATTTTGTTAACTTAACTTATATGCATTGCTTGAGAATTTTACTTGAGTGTTAAATTTTTGTTATCGCTGCCATCTATTAATATATTTTAAATTTATTTTAAAACGTTTACATTACTTGTTAGTTTGGCAAATCATTATATAGTTTTACTCCATCAAAAAGTATATTTGTGTCCATAATTTAAGGACACTATATACGACATTCCATACACTTTCAACATAGGTTTAAAGAAGTCTATTTCCAAAAAGAACAAAGTTCGCTTACGAAGGAAATTTTAACTACAATTGAGATATAACAAATAATAAACAGTAGTGATATTAAACAACATTAGTAAAATCACCTAATGTATGGGTTCTTAATCGTTTTTCAAATATATTTAAATATTTTGAATTTACAACACTTAGAGGCAAAGAGTTATAGCATAATTAAATTTTAAATTAAAATGAATCTATTTATTCAAATGATGATTGAATGATATTCCATTTGTATATTGCTAAGGCTTAATTAAATTAGCAGCTTTTGTGGGGTTCTATAAAACATTTATTCAAAAATCATTTTTGAAGAAATTTTGCATGATGTGATGATAGCCTATAATTAAAAGGACATTTAAGTTATTATTGATAGTTTGTTAATGTAATTAATGTATTAATGTTTTCTTTTGTTGGCTATCCAAATAAAATAAAATAAAAACGTTTTTACAGTTGAAAATAGCAGAAAAACACGAAGACACAGATATACTGCTTTGGGAAGAGAAAATAAGACTCGCTGAAGAAGATGCTCAGAAGGCTCTAGAACGAGCTGAGAAGGCGGAGAAGAAGTTAGCGGAAATAGAAAGAAGATTATCAGAAGACCGGAAACCGAGGAAATCTAGCTTGATGTCTAGAATAAACTACTTCGAGACAGGAGGAGATATGAAAAATGACGTGAAACCGGTCAAAGAAGTTGTTAGAGAAGTAAAAATGGGTGAGTTATTACAATGATGATATAACTACTAATATTATAAATGCGAAAGTAACTCTGTCTGTCTGTTACGCTTTCACGCCTAAACCACTGATGACTGAACTGATTTTAATGAAATTTGATACAAAGAGTTGACCTTGAGAAAGAACATAGGATATTTATCCCAGACTTTCGAAAGGTTCTTATAGAAACGCAATATAACCGAACTCGAAGATGACGTTGCGGGCGGAAAGCTAGTAGATAATAATATAATCGCATCTTATATGTCATTTAATTAAAAAAGTATGAAGTAAACATAGACAATTTTCAATTATACTTCCAGTACTTAAGGGATTTTAAACCTAAAATATATTATCAGTGACGTCTATATAGACCATAGACAATAGTAAGTATATCAAAAAATTACATTAATTTAATATATAACTAGTATAAGAGCATAGACAATTTTCCATTATTCTATCTAGTTGTTATATATATATATATACATATTACTGTCCAAAGCATCCTCTGTCGGCATGATAAAGCCAAGAAACAAATCCAATTGAAGCATAATAATAATTAATTATTGTATTTCATATTACTTCCAGAGCCTGTCGAACAAACTAAACAACCATCACCTATCCCGCCAGATGTTCCGCCCCCTCCTCCCGCTCCGTGCCCTCCCCCTCCTCCCTCCCTCCTGCCTCCCCCTCCTCCGCCTCCCCCGCCGCCGCCCCCTCCAGCAGTATTCAAAGCCGTCTCCGTAGAAGACATGGCGGACATGCTGGCTAATAAAGGAGCCACCCTGAAGAAAACTAAACAGAATGGAGGTAATATATTATATATTAAGGAAATTAGTTCGAATTATTAAAAATTAAATAACAGTATGACATTGGACAATTTGACTATGCTATATTAATTAAAATGAACAAATATAAAAGGTAAATTAAGGAATAAAATGATGAACTGCTAACACCAGTTAAACAATTAAAGTACTTACAGAGTAATATCCTTAAAATAGCCTTAAACTAATTCTAACACAATATTAACAGTCAAAACCCTTGAGCGATGTCGCCTCGACGACGGACCACCAGAAAGTGTGTCAATGTTTCTTTTGCGCACTGCTTCTATTTTGTTTCTTGTCCGAGGAGTTCCTAACTGTATATATTATATATTATGTCGGAGTTAACATGACGTCATTGTTTTGAAAAGAGTGACGTCATAGCTGACGTCACCAAGGCCTGTTCTTGTTTATCGTCAGGCTTGTAGGATGTTGGTGGTATTATATGTAGTAGTCGTTTTGACGAATTCTTTACTTCGAAGAGGTACCCTCGCCTCTATTTGTACCAATTAATACTCGTTTTTACTACACTTGCACAGGTATCTATGCAATTTAAGTGGAGGCACATGATAATTTAAAATAGCCTCAAATTTTTAAATAATAGAAATTGTTCCGATATATATATATATGTATAAAATGATCTCTTTCTATTGAAATATTAAATTCATGTTTTCCTTTTGTGTATATTTTCTTTTGTATTCGTGTCAATGTTATTTTATATACATACATACTTCTTGAACAAATAGTCCAGTATTTGATACTTGTCTATCTATATGTTTTTCTTATCTGAACATTAAGTTATAATTAATGTAAGTTCATATGTTATCAGGAGGTGCTATAGATGCTATAGTGGATCAAATCAAAGGAGGCAAGTTCCAACTAAAATCTACGGAACAGAACTTCATGGAAAAGAAACCCAAGGACGACCAGCCCGAGGCTGTGAAGGAAATGTTACAGATACTTGGAACGCTGAGGAAGAGGAGGAATGTTAATAGAACTAATGTTATTAACACTGGAGATGACTGACTTGGATGATATATTATGTGATATGATATGATATGATATATGATATAATAAGCAGACCCTGTCTAAAGCTGGGAAATTGCCAGGAAGAAGAAGAATTATATATGATATAATATAATAAGATATGATATCAGAATTTCAGTAGTTGTCCTGTACTATATATCAATTCCAATTTTACAATTCTCCAATAATGTTATGGGACTGATACGAATAAGGATCTCTCGGAAATGTTGTGTTTAAAAAGTATTAAAATTTTTTGATTATATTATTTTTTATAGCAATCTGGTACAATTATATGCAAAGTATATTAAGAGATTTCGTGTATTATAATACTGCCAATTATAGATAGTATTTGTATTACGACATATATTTATATGTGATATATACATCGTATATTTTTAGACATAGTATATTTATATTATAATAGTTTACAAGTAACTTCGTGCCTTAGACGTGACTTAATTTAGTTAAGATCTGAAATATTTTACATAATATACATATTCATATTTTTATAACTAAATATTATTAGAAAAATTCGCACAATTTTCAAACGTGTCAATTATAAAATATAAAATGTTGCCATTATATAAAATGAATATATTTTTAAAATATAATTTTAGTTCTAATTATATAATTATTTTTAATTATAAAGTTATATATTTTTCTAAGTAAATCGGTTTGTTAGTTACCGTCGGTGCCATTGATGTTTCTATGGTATTATGCATTTTTTTACCAAGTTTTTTATTATTATTATTATTAGCATAAATATGATATATGAATAAAATTATATTGTGAACATTTATGTTTTATTTTAATTTTAGTTGTGTTTTGGTATCCAAAACAGTATACTCTATCTCAATTCAAATAATAATCTTCACTCGATTCTGTCAAAGGGAAGGGCCTAAACAAATTTAGGAATCGTTAGGTAGTAGTTTTTTACAAAAATTTATTTAGTAAAACCGAAGAAATAATATTAATTTCACTTAGGTAAATGAAAAAACTGGCGAAAGTCTTAGATCTCACTAAGGCACTTTTGAGCTTTTCTACAGAAATTAGGGATCAGAATAGGATTGAGATGAGAGTGTCGGGACTCACTATCGATAACTATCAGGAACTACACATACAAGGACACTAGAATTTCCATATAAGTGTTCAACAAAAACTAAATCATTTCCTATCTCTTCCCTCATGCGTTGGAATATTGGAAACTATGGCGCGCTGACTTGTAACAGGTATGTGTACCTACGAGCGATACGCATTCCCTTTCGTTCTGCCTGTTTTTATGTCAATATTTCAATCAATGATATAGCATTAGGTCATCCTGATTTCTGTATCAGGACTGGATTCACGTACATCCCTAATTAATAATGGATTGGAATTAAAAATAATAATAGATTATAGTCATATTTCTTATTATAGCTGGTGGTCATAATTTAAAAAGTATTGGATTTATATTTATGTCAATGCAATTTGATGACCACTTATACACATGGTACCACAATTTTAATCATCGCTTAAGTATTTTGGGTATTGAAAAGTACGCATTGAAAATTTATTCCAAATTTGTTTTTTGGATCTTTTAATAGATATGGAATCCCTTTAGTTGATTTAAATAAAAATAGTGATATGAAAATTACCAGTTACCTTTTATAGAAATATATTGCTGACAAAGTCGATACAGAATTTAAAGATATATTTACATGAGGGAGTCCTTCGGGTGGGGCGTGACTTTTCGAAACTTCAAACTTAAGATTTTTGAAGTTTAGAAAAATCTATATCAATGCAATTTCATGCATTCTCGTCAAGATATGCAAGGAACAATTTTTCTTTTATATGATGTGCCTCATATTATTGTTTGTTACTCTACAAGATCACGCCTGTTGAAACCTCAATCTAGGTTTTTGCCAGAATATTATATGATAATCTACAAACTTCCTTTAGAACATACACACAACTTTTACCGTTTTCCGGGTTTTGCTAAATATTCTCATCTACTTTTACTGAATAGGAATAAAATCAAACACAATTAAGAAAAACGATCTATATATATATTTATTTACAGCCACTTATAACCTAGAAAGATGTAGAGGAACTGGTTCGGATGAATTCTTTGAGTCTGTCCATAAAAATAGGTTTCATAGTCTCCACCCATTGAATATTGGTGCGAGCTGTTTCTATTCCTTGTGCCACTGCCATCTTTGATTCAGATAGTAACTCATCATTCCTCTTCTGCCAAGATAAGAACTGTAAAATTAGTAATAAATTCTGTTCACTAGAGGCCGTTAAAATTGCCTGCAATAAATAGATAATTATTAATAATTAGTGTTTACCTCATCGAGTTCCTTCTGAGTAGTAAACTGCCCCAGAAGAGTCTTCATAATGTCAGTGATGCCTTCACTTTGATCATAAAAACTAAAAGACAAAAACATGTTTATTATTCCAGAATAAATAGCAAGTTGAGAAGAAATTGTTTTGAGATAAACAATTAAATCTATGAGACTTCATTTCAACTTTACTGAGAATACAAAATTAATCGATGCGTGAAATAAATTTGTGGATGTATGGTTATGCAATTTTATGTAAAATGACAAATAAAATCTTACTGCAAGAAACAAAATATGCTATCACAAGGTAATTTTTTTTTGTAATCCCTTATAATAATTATCTACATATATATAACATACGCAGTATGTATATCCTTGATCCTGTTATATATGAAGTCTCTAGCCACGTAGTAGCCCACCTCAGAACTGATCACCTCGCTGATCACTCGACTCGACTCCTGGCGGTGAAGCTCGTCATTCTCTGTTAGTGTCCATTCTAAGAACCTGAGAAGTTTAATGATTAGAAAAAATTAAGTATCGCAAAGTACTTCATATCATTTTTCCAGTAGCTTACTTCGTCAAGGCCTAAAAGCTATTCCACTAAAATTAAGTGACCTTTCAAGGACGAAACTCATGAAATAGTTTCAGTTATATTAATTTAATGTGTTAAAATCTTAGAGAGATCATTTTAATAATATTGTAAGTTTAATTGTATGTAAAGACAGTTAAAAAATATAATGTACATAATGAGATCCAAGACTTTCGCGAGTATTCATTTAAAAGAAACTTATTTTACCGATATACTACGCGTGCTTTATTTTTGTAAAAAACTACATACTCCCGATATTTCCGTTACTTTTCAACAACCGTGATCACGGTAGTAGTATGAAGTTTTTTACAAAAATAGCACGCGTAGTATATCCGAAAACATTTAATTTCATTTATAATCTACCTAAATAATATTGAATACCAAAACTATTGATTGATTTGATACAAGGTTTAATAATACATAACACTAACTTGGCCAGTATCCATACATCCCTGCTGCAGGCCAGTGAGTCGAGGAGGTGTTCCCGAGTCGCTGCCACGTCTGAACGATTCCTCCTCTCCAAAGACCAGCTCCAATGAAACTCACTACCACGATGTATACCGACACACGTTACTATCGAGCGAAGGTCTACCGGGATGCTAGGGAAAAATATAGCTTATTCGTTAGCTTAAAATATAGCTCATTTCTTAGCAATACAATTCTAAGATGATTAATTTATGAAAAGCTGAGATGTATTTTTGTTTCGATTGACAAATGCAAAGCTGATGACCTAAGAAGTAGTTTAATAATGTTACTTCTACAAAGTCTCTTTATATTTGTATGTATTGAGAAGTATGTAACCAGTCAATCACATGTTCAAATCCAAGAACTGTAACTACCTTTTTAAATTTAAAGAAAATAAACTAAATTCATCTTTACGGGCAGTTCAAATTAAATGTAGATAATAATTTGTTAGCAATTTGAAATTTAACACATGTTACTAATGGACTGCGTAATTTAAAAGGATACTAACGGATTATTTTCATCTGGATTCTGAGTTTTCATCCACTGCTGGAACATTTCTAAAGCATTATCTTCACAACCAGGAACATTCATACTGCAAGCCCATGAGCTGGAAAGCACCTAAGCAGACGGATAATATTTAGTTTGGAGAAACACAAAAGATAAATGCAATTTGTATTTTATGCAGTCCTTGAAATTCTATAGTAACTTTAGATATGAACCTTTTTTAATAATTCTTAAATCTCACCTGTATTTTGACACTGTTTAAGTCATCACCATTTACTATATTTTTAACAGCAAGTCCCCCACTCTGATATATTCTGGTGATTAACATCCTCACATATTCTTGGAACAAGCCATATTCTGCGCTTCGTTTTAGTACATTGGATATCTTCGACAAACCTGATAGACCTGTATATAGAGGTAAATATTCTTGTTCTCTTTGGAGGTAGCTTGCTAACCTAAAACAAAGAAAAATTATACGGATCTTATACTTCAATTAATAAATACGAAACTTTATTAGGAGTACAAGTTTTCTTTTTAAATTTGTTTAAGTAGGGAGAAGAGCTTGGACGGTGGAGGTGATCGTTTAACGCGCTATAAATGGGGGCCTCTTAAGCCTACACCTGGGTCGCAAGTCTCAGGCACTGTTGAAGCTCCTCTCACTACAACGATGAACCAGGCACCCGCACCGTGAATACATAGAATGATGAGAAGTTTCGTCACGTCTCTAGTGAAGTAATAGTTTCCTTGTAGCAATAACTAATTAACGTTTATTTATCACTAACTGTAAAGTCATTCCGTAGTCCAGTTGATTGTTCCAGGCCAGTTCAAACGCGTCAGACAACATCTGTACTCGTCCTTCAACAGGTATGACGCTGTACTTGTCACTCGTCAGAGTGTTTATGAGGAGCTTCCAATTGTTTTCATCGTAGTTAACTCTAAAGGGTGCTGTAAGAAACGGTAATATGAAATGGTAAAAATAAAGAACATTAACTTTAACAGTATTGAAATTGTTGTTTGAATATTTGAACTTTTTATTATCAATTACCAAAAACACCAAGTTATTTTTGTTTATATGTAAAACTTAAAAGTTTTCAGCAACCGTGATCACAAACATCTCGTCTGTCCGTGATCACGGTTGCAGTAACCGAAACGTCGGGAGTATGCAGTTAACATAATAAAATACGCTTAGTAATCCGAAAATTATCAGTTTCATTACATTGAATACTGGCGAAAGTCTTAGATTATATTAATAGCATTATTTATTAGATGTGCTTATTTTGTAATAGCAAGCCTTACTTAATGGTTATTAGTCAAAAAGAACTAAGTGTGACTCACCCATCATATTATAATTAAACAACATCCATTCATTTTGGTCACATCCATGTTCGAGATGTTTATCATCCAGAACTCCTTCCTCATTACTTAACCAAACTAATTTTGGGTCTTCTGTTCCACTTTCACATTTAATACTAAGAGGAATCCACCAACTTTGGGATGAAAGAATTTCTTGACGCCATACATAACGTTTCTGAAACAAATGAAAGATTATGTAGTTTCTTACTTCTTCTTCTACCTGGCGATTTCCAAGTTTTAGCCAGGGTCTGCCTTACATGTTGTGAATAGTTTTGGCTAATTGTTTTTACGACCGACAGCCTGCCTGACATCAACCCTCGTTGGGAATGCATTAATCCAGTAGTCCCCAAACTTATTTTTCTCGTGGACCACTTTCAAAATTTTACTGGTTTCGGTGGACCCCCTGCTGCTACATTTCTACCACATTCTTAAAGTCGCCAAAAAATAAAAATTGTGTCACTTCTGAGTTCTGTCTCTATATTCCGATAGGTAAAATAAAATTTTAGATATTTTGGAAACAAATGAATGAGTGTTTGCCTTTGGCATCAAGTATTTATAGTGGTGATCAAGTTCATGTCTGAACAAGCATTAAGCATGGTAGGGCGGATAGCGCTTTGCAAGTCTGTACACGAAATTGTACGTAATATCGAATACGCAAGTTTGGACAAGTAACAGTCGCTTGCCTTATTAAAATATTATCTGCTTAGTTAGGTGCTTAAAACAATGTAGGTAGGCCCTTATAAAAACTATGCTTACATTTTTGCTCTTTACTATCAAAAGCAGATAAATTTTCGTAGACCCCCATTTTTTGTTCACGCCTACGTAGACCCCCAGCAAGTCTCCCGTGGACCCCTGGGGGTCCACCTGGACCACTTTGGGAATCACTGCATTAATCGGTGATGTCTAAATACTCTTAGAAAGTAGATGATAAGTAAACACAAACATATAATAGTAAGATCAAGACAAATTGTTGTTTATATTATCAATATTACCTGTGAAATATTAACAGATTTGTCGGAGTAATTTCTGTTAACAGTCACCAAAGGAAATCCAGTTTGTTTGGTCCAGGTATCCATGACTTGTTTTACAGTCATGTTATTATTCAACGCGCCTTTGTTCATGACCACTGCGTTTAGTTCCGACCAGAGATCATCTTGTTCCGCGTTAGAGTATGAATATTTTATAAGATAACTATCAGAAATAAAAAGGTTTATATTTACAAAACATTCAAAAAATATTATAACTATAGTCCATAGGACTTAGATAGACAAAAATATATTCTCTTTAATATAAATAAGTATGAATAAAGTCAAAATAATAGTGTATTAAATTACTTGTGAAGTGCTTCTCTAAATGCCTCTTCTCCCAAAAACATCTCCATCATTCGTATTAAAGTAGCTCCCTTACTGTAAGAAATATCATCGAAGATCTCTGTTATGGCTGTCGGATCTTCTAAAGGAACTGACACCTGGAAAATTAATTAATAAATACTGTATTGTTACCAATTTCTTTAAAACATAAACCGGATACTGCTTGACAAAAATTTTACTCGACGGTATATACAAATTGATATAAAGATGTTTAATTCACCAATCACCATCATCAAAGCTATTAGAGACCACTGCTGCAAAAGGCCTCTTCTCACACGGAGACGGTTAGAGCATTAATCACCACGCTCGCTCAAGACAGGTTGGCGATTTCAAACATAATTTGAAATTATAAGTCCACGTTTTGTCACGATGTTTTCCTTCACCGTCTGTCACTGGTGTCCAAATACTCTTAGAAAGTCCATAGGACTTGGAAAAATCCCCTCATGCATGAGAGGCGGGCCTTTAACCACTAGGCCACCACGACTTTTGCGATGATCAATAAACTATACCAATAATAGCATATATCCCTCTCTTGACTTCAAAGCATCAGAACGATAAGTGGAATAATAAAAAAACAATTTTATATTAAGACAAAAATAATAAGGTGTTAAAACTTTACCGGATGAGAAGACTCCAAAACGTCCAAGTTGAATACAGTCAGTGTGTTCTCTACGGCGTTGTTTATGTCCGCGTGCCAGGATGGTTCAATGGCATTCACACCTAATGAAGCTACGAAGGTCGCGAAGCCTTCGTTCAGCCACAAGTCTGACCAGCTCTTCATGGTCACTAGGTTGCCGAACCATTGATGAGCTAACTCATGGGCTATTAGCTTAAAACATAAGAAACGAAATGGTTAGGAAATAGTCATAATAATTGAATCGACGTAATAATAAATAAGCTAAAATATTTCGTACCGAAGCAATTCTTTCTTTATCTGAGAGAGAAGATTCTCTGTCATGGTATAAAAGAGCAGCATCCTCATAAGTGACGAGGCCCCAGTTTTCCATGCCCTCGGCGACGAAGTCTGGTATCGCCACCATATCTTGTTTGGGAAGCGGGAACGATACGTTAAACCATCTCTCAAAATGAGATAGCACTGCTGGCCCTACTTCAGATGCATAGGAAGTCTGAAAATAATGACAATTATTTAAAAAATCTGCTATTTTGAAAGGAATATTTTCCTACAAAAAAGACGTTTTCTTAATAATACTTGTAAAATATATTTAGATTTTTTAAACTCCAAGTAAATAAAGCTAAATAAATAAAATTCGATAGTTTTGTGTTAAATATATGTATGTATCCTGTTATTTGTTTTTACCTGTTCTATAGCGTCACTTCTGGCCCAAATCCTAAACTTAGTGTTTGATGTATTTGGGGCAGATTTATAAGAGTATTTAGATACCACGAAGGCGACAAGATAAGATGACATCGGAACTGATTTGTCGAATTCATCCCAAACAAAAGAAGAAAGTTCCTTCCTTAACGGAAAAGAAAATTAAGTTTTATAAATTTAATGACAATTGTTGTGATATTTCTATGTAAATAACACTTTTTAGCTAAAAATAAATTGAAAATAACTATACTATTTGGTGAACAAAGAACTTTAAAATTCTATTATTCTGAAGTTAATTTAGATATTTTGTTTGTTATGGATTAAATAGACTATTATATTAATTTAAATTTTGAAGTCAAATATAGCTGTAATAATCAAAAGGTTTTTATGTAATAACTTTTGTGACTTAATGGATCAAACAAATGCTGTATTTAAAAACAAAAAGGTTCATAAATCATTATTTACCTAAACTTCTTCCCGACTACGTCCCACGGCCAGTAATCTTCGAGGGCGCTGTATATAAATATATAATAAGTATTTATTGATATATTAATATATCGTCACATATTATGTTACAGTCACATACTTGTCTAAGGAGGAGGTCGCCAGAGGCATGTTGGAGACGGCCGTGTACTCCTTGCTGTGGCCGAGGACGAGGGAGAAGGTGGACTTGAACATGGGCTCGTCGAAACACGGGAAACCTTTACGAGCTGATATCGGTTGGAACTGTGTCGCAATAAGATATCTGAAAGATTGTTCTTTGTTTATTTTATTGAGACATGATTCTACTACAATCTTAAATACTACTATCGCTTTCTGTCATGGGATGGCATATGGCAATGGCATAATTAATTTAAATAATAGTTTAAAAAGAAATTATATTGCAATAACTCGAATATTAATAACATTTATTCTCATATATATTTGAAAGAAAGAAAGAAAGAAGAAGAAAGAAAGAAAGTTTTTATTTGAGACACGTATATAGTGAGGTATAAAAATAAAAAAAAAAAACAAAATAGAAAAATTACAAATTAAAAAACAAAAAATAAACATAAGAATAAAGAAAAAAAAAAAAAAAAAAACTTATGACTAATTTACAAAAATGCACCTACACCAAAACACAAAAGAAATAAAAAAATAATTAAAACTTAGGATAAAAAAAAAGAGAAATCAAAACAAAAAAAAAAAGAAATAAACATCAAAATACATAAGGCGTGTCCCAAAAAGGTATACCATTCAGCTTAAAAGGTGTTAACACACCTTATGCTGATTTTCGATGGTACCCTTTGAGCCTGATGGATGTAGCGGTGAACAAGTTTATAAATACATATTGTTAATGTGACAGTTAAATTATATAAACAAAAAGTTGATGGAACACATGACTGAGGTAGGCAACGGAGCCATACCAGTAAAGGTAAGTTGTACATATAATATATAATATATATGTACACATAATATTATAATAAAAAGAAGTTTTCAGAAATAACCACATAGATCGATTCTTCTGTCCGTGATCACGGTTGCTGAAAAGTAACCGAAACGTCGGGACCATGTAGTTTTTCACAAAAATAAACCGCGAAGTATATCCGTAAAATATCACATTTATATATTCTTCAGAAGACAAGAAATTCCTCTCACAATACTCACTCTGTTTTTCCATTCTTCTTATCTTTATACGCGCTGATGTACACTCCATCCAACTCTCTCATTAAATTACCATAGAATGGTATAATAAGAGTATAGTTTTTATTTTCCTCTAAATCCTTGTCAAGTGTTATTTCCAAGAAGTTGTACGTATCATTCAGTTTAACTCCCGTCACTTTGGGAACGTCTTTTTGTCCAACGACACTCACTTTGTCTTCTGATATCATATAATTTTGCGCGTGGAGAATTATTTTTGAAGTGGCCTTTTTGGTCGAAATCTGAAATAAATAACTATTGTATTTGTTATGTACATTATTTTCATGATGAGTAGTGATTTTGGTCTATTTTTGTCATTCCTTTACCTGTATATCAGCGACGCCGTAGAAGCTGTAGTTAGTGTTTGGGTCCACGTCGTACATCAGCCTCAGTTGGTAGTGAGAGGGAGCGACGTGGTCTGGCAGCAAGTACTGATGACTCACAGGGACGGAACACACGATGAACAGAAACAATGACAACTCCATGTTCTTTTTTGTGATTTGTTTTTGTAAAAAATAATATGATTTTCTTTTAAAACCTGACAAACTCTTTGAGATTCTGCTTGCTTTGTACCTATTCCCACTTAAATCTAATAATTTAAACGTAAGAAAGAGAAAATTTCAGACATCTGACCTGGAGATAATTTCAGAGTAATCATAACATCTCTGTTTATTAGGTTTTCTTAACAATATGAAATAAAAACGAAACATCGTCATAGTTTTGATTTGCTATGAAAGAACATCTACTTACTATTGTCTCCAAATTTTAAAGGTATTTTAAGGCTTTTAGTAACGTAACTAGTCTGGCGTCTAATTAAGAAATTACCTAATAATATAAAGTTACTGTTTGAAGAGATAGGCATTAGTCAGTTTTGAATTCAATTAATTTTAAAATCAATAAAAAGTATTTCTTGTATTGATTTCCTTTTCTTTTTTAAGGAAGTCAAATTCATAATCCTTATTATTAACAAATACACAATTTGTGTAAATACATTGCAATTCCGACATATTTGAATTTAAAGCCAAAAAATCCTTAAAAATATTTCCTACATTTCTTATATTAATTTAACACAATATTATGTAAATGAATATATACAAAGAATATATTTGTTAAACGCTTTACCGACGTAATATTTCAGGAAATCATAATATACTCTTTTTTCGAAGGTATTAATAGTAAACTCCTCTAGTTAATAATAACAGAAAGTAATATAAGTTCTCACGTACTTTACACTACGTCCGGCTGTTACTGTAACTTGTTTGATTATAAAAACTATTTAGGTTTTATGATTAGCAAAAGTAAATACAACGATTACATGAATTTCATTACAGTGATGAGCTAATAGTGTTTATATTACAAATAATTAAACTCAACATCAAGTATTCTAACAAATTGTATTAAAGAAGAAGTTAAAATCTGTATGTAATATAGTGATATAAAGTGTAACTATTTCTGCACCGATAGTTATTTTAATACTGACTTGATTGAATAACTAACCAACAAGCCTTTCACTTCTTTGAGAAGCTTTATCGCAAGATTTTAGACCTAAGATGTAAAACCTCAAACATCTGTAGCTAATTTCTAATGTTGACTATAACGAATACCTTCTATAAATATAACGACCAACTCTCGTTTTTCGTTAAATCAAATACCAATAGGAAAACAGAAATGGCTCGAAGTTAAATGAAGCTTGATAAGTCGAGCATTGCCCGTATAATTTAACAAAATCTATGTTAATGGTTTTCCTTTTTAAATGATTTAAGGCCAGTATTTATTTATTTACATATTTTAACAATAAGCCAATGTTGAGCTAAATGTTAATTTGTGTCATAGTAATGAATTGATGAATTTTTTATCGACATTTTTGGATTTCGATAAATTTTTAATTAAAATATCGATATCGACTTGATAATAAAATAAATATGAATCCAATCCCTACTTGACCTTTCCCCTATGACACATTTAAAATGTTAATAATTTCAAATATAAACTATTTGTTTTTATTTACTGTTGCGTTAAGGTCACTTCTGATTTAATGAAAAAATCGTCTGTGTATGAAAGACAGAACGAAAATATTTTATATGGACTTTTAACTTTCATAACTTCAAACTCATTACTTGTCTCGAGTCATAATAAAATCTTGTTTCCATTTCATTATAAAATAACTTTGTAAGAATAATTTTAGTAATAATAATAACTGAATGAGTAAAAAAAACTTTCAAAATATTTAGACTGTTTTAGTTATATCAATTGTTATAGTAATTTTAATTTAAAATGCTTTAAATCTTGCTAAAATGGTGTTAAATTCATAACATATATGCAATTTAGTTATCCTAAGATAGTAAATTGTGAAAGCTCAGATGTTGTAGCTGTAAGAAACACGATGAAAACATTTTCACATATACAAAATATTATTGTAGACTTCGTAAATTAGTTGTATACCTATATTTTATTTTGTAAGTATGAGGACTTAGGAGTTAATTTTGTAATTCAGATTACGTGTTGGAGTGTACCAAAGTTATTTATAATTATATGTTTTTATTTCATTCTAGGCAGAGTATATGTTATTAAATCACAAAAATATGACGTTGAATTATAGTACTTCTCAATTAAATAACCTAAGGTTTTGTGTTATTTGAAAGATAATCTCAACTTTTAAAATAGACCAATCAATCTTCTTTATCGCTTTTCAGACCTAATTTTAGTGAATAAGTTATGATTAATATGAAAATGTTTATTTATGCAATATATGTAATAGAAATGAATATTATTTATTGACTATAGAGTATCAGGCTGATTTAGTTTTGAAATATTAGGCTGACTTTTATCGACTTACTATTAGAGATTATTTATCAGACAGCCTTTGAAGGCCATTTTTTTGGTTCATGGTTTTGTTTATAAAGATATAAATAATATGAGTATAAGGAAATCTAATTTGTTAAATTCTCTCTATGTCTCTGCTTTCAAGAAAATTTATACCGATTTTGTCATACACAAAACTATTATACAATAAAACATAGTAGTCCAAGAATGGGTCACAGGTAAATAGATTCACGTCCTGTCAAGTTTTTTTTGTATTTTTGTGGTTGAATTTTAAGTAAGCATTCTCGACTCATAGTTTTCATTAAATTGCGAAAAAATTTAAAGCAAAAATACATTAGTACAACAAAAACATTAAAATACGAGATTTTTTGCTGTTCAGGATTCTGCAGATTCTAATCCTGCCTTCATATTATATAATAGTAAATATAATATCAATATGAGACGTTACATCTCAACATTCAATATATTCACGGTGCTTGTGTCGGGTCCATCGTTGTAGTGAGAGGAGCTTCAACAGTGACTGTGACTTGCGACCCAGGTGTAGGTTTAAGGGACCCTATCTAACGCGCGTTAAACGCTCACCTCCACTGTCCAAGCTCCTCTCTACCAAATCAAATTTCAAAAGAACCTACTAGGGCTGCCTTTGAAGTACGTTTCAAGAATGTATTAATGTGAGTTCTGGACATGCTCAAGTCTTTTAGTAGGTTGTAAAGATATTCAGCCATTATCGCTACGATTTCTAGTACGTACAAATCTACGACGAATTTTCGAGTGAGTTCGTTAGTGAGCTCATAATATTTATTGACCTTGATTTTGGGGTTTTTGGTTTCCCAAGGAACTGTAAGCTCTATTTTCACAATGAGCTTTATTGATATTGAGAAAATGAATTATTAAACTTATCATTTATAAGTTGTAATCGTTCAAACATACGTATTTAATAATATTTATTAATAATTATATTTTACATCTCACACTAACAGAACACTTATAACTACAGAATGTAAAACTGCCCACGCCACTGATTTAACTTGGACGGAGAAGCTTCTTAATACAACGTCTTCATAATCTATAAAATCTCTGTAAAAAAGAAACTCTTTATATACCCAATAATATTAACTATATGGAAATGAATATAAATAGAATAATATCATAAAAAACAACAAAAATGTTGTTGACAGAATTGGGAAATAAAATATAAAAATGTCAAAAAAAAATATTTTATTTGTGACATCAACAATTATACAATTAAGAAAATAATTCAAACAGCGTGTAGTCATTTCAACAAATATATTAATAAACATTGGACGGAATATAAATTAAATGTATTGGTCCAGCCATATTAGTTATATTTATATAAAACAAAACAAAAATAAAATACTTAACAAACAATCTTAGTCATTTATATTATTTAACGGTTTTTTTTAAACTTTGATCTCGTTATGTTGTGTATCGAAAACACCGAATACAAAAACTTTGGTGCTTCTTTCCAAAGAACGGGCGCTTGAAGTGAACTAGGATGAATAAACAAAAATAAATTTCATTTTTGGTACTGGCAACACTAAAATATTACGGTCATTTAAATAAAAAATAATTGTAATGGTAACACTGGATTGAAATGTCATTTAGTATTTGTCAAGCTAAAAACTAAAAATAATTACATTTCTATTCGACAATGCTTTCTAATATATTTCTGCACCTCAAATTACATTAAATAAGTACATAAGCTTGTAAGCGTTATCACACTAGCTAAGCTAACAGTTCTAATATAAAATAGATCTCGTTATATATTTAATGATACAAAAACTATTTACACATAGCTGTCATTACTTCATTTCGAAATGCAGTACGTACGCGACAATAGAACAAAGCATTTTATTATATAACATCTACATTGTACTTAATTTCTTTCAAATAACTAAATTAAGCTTTACATTTACATTGCACGAGGTAACGAAGAAGGATTTATTGTAATTTTGTTAGTCATGATTGTTTTCTTTACCTCGCACATTATCTATATCTAAATCTATTGTTAATCGTGACATGTATCATATCATATCATTATCATATCATAAGGTAAGTCTCACATGGAGTATTCCCTCATCTTGTCCACTACGGTCCGTTTGTTTCTCTGTATCCATTCAATGTTCACTCTTGCGTTTTCTATTCCTTGAGCGACCGCTATTTTGGAAGCGGATAAATATTTCTCATTCTGTTTCTTCCACTCCAAGAACTGTTGAGGAAGATGGAATCAATTAAAATGATTACTATTTAAGTTATATAATATATGTAAATCTAAATAAATTGGTTCAAATTTGGATATTACGGGACAATAGAGCTGAAAAAATATAAACATTTTTGATCCATAAAACATTAAAACGAAGACAATAAATAGTAAACATTGAACACGCGAACTTGGCACAAAAACTGTTAAAATAAACTATTATTGAAAAGAAGAAAAGTTATCCTAGGAACTATTAACGGAGACAAATTTAACTTTTCACAATAAGTCAAAATAAAAGTGAAGTGTTTTTTTCGAATTTTCTTTTTGGCGTTAATGACTATATGTTTGAGAAACCTAATAATTTCTATTATATCCTATTAAAAAACTTTAAAATCTTTCATCACCTCATCTAGTTCCTTCTTAGTCGTGAACTGCCCCAACAAAGTCTTTATGATGCCTCCCATCCTTCTGTCTTGACCGTTGAACCTGTCAACAAACAAATAATCACTTAACTGCTTGGTTCCTAAGGAAGGATATTTAGTCTTTTAGTTTAGTTTGATATAATATATATGATTGATTGTTTGACGAGAACGCCCTATATACTTGGTGACCGAATGCGAACTGAATTAAATTATATTTTTGATTTCACATTATTTCGCAATTATGTCGAGCGTAGCCAATACAGTCGCTTTTCTTTTGTATTCTCCATAATGTCAAAACCCTGCCCAATATGTAATTCTTAAAGTATATGCTCCTAAGATATTATAGTTACGGATATTGCGCGATAGTTCAAACAAAATATATAGAAATAACCTTAAAAACAATAAGTTAGCGGCAAATACAGAAAACAAGTATGAGACGAAACTTCTCATCATCAATATATTCACGGTGCGTGTGTCGGGTCCATCGTTGTAGTGAGAGGAGCTTCAACAGTGACTGGGACTTGTGACCCAGGTGTAGGTTTAAGGGGCCCATATGTAACGTTAAACGTTCAGCTACACTGTCCAAGCTCCTCTTTTTACCAAATTTAAAACGAACCTAGTAGAACTGCCTTTAAGTACATTCCAGGAATAAATTGATAAGTTCTGGACATGCCCAAGTCTTTTAGTAAGTTGTAGAGAGATATAGCTGTTATATATTGTCTTTGATCAAGTTTTATTAACTCACGTTCTACTAATATCCTGTATTCTTCCGTATATAAAGTCTTTAGCCACATAGTATCCGGTAGTCGACCTTGTGACAGCCGCTATGACGCTGCCAGCATCTTGACGACGAACTTCACTTCCTTCAGAGACAGTCCATTCTAAGTACCTGAACACATAGCATTAATACTCACTAAAAATTACGTCACGAAAAATGTGTTATACTTAGGAAATATTATTAAGATTAATCTTCTTCTACCTGGCAATTTCCCAGCCATAACCAGGGTTTGCCTTTCATGTTGTGAATAGTTTTGTCCAATTGTTTTTAAGACCGGCCGCCGGCCTGACATCAATCCTTTTTTGGGAATATTATTAAGATTAATATAGATTTTATTGCCATGCAGACTCTAGCTAAAGCTGGGAAATTGCCAGGAAGAAGAAGAAGATTAATATAGATTTTATTCTGCGTATATCCTGATAATTACTTATTCTTATGAGATCGAAGATTTTTTCGAATATTCATTTAAATAAAACTAATGTTTTTGAAATTTATTACGCGTTTAGAATTATTTTTAGCTACAACCGTGATCACGGTTGCTGCAATGTGACCAAAACGTATGGTATGTTGTTAAAAATAAATATAAAGACGTAATAAATCAAAAAATATAAGTTTAATTATCTTTATTCTTCTAATAATTATGGTAAATGCTAAATAACAGGACATCATGTAAAATCTAAAGATTTGTTCTCAATCTCTTGGATCGTGGTTTAAAGATTTCGTGTTCAAATACGGGAAGTTATGTTACTGTGTAGAAATTAGGAATGCAATCAAGTTAAAACAATAATCATTATTAAATTATAAATTAAGAGTGAAAGTAGCGCAGGCTTCCATTTAAAATGATGTCTTAAATGTCAAATAAAAATAGCATCATAATTAGTTCATAGTGAAGATTTTTTATGTTATTGACAAACTAGTGCAAAATACTACTGATGATAAGTTTTTTGTCATAAAAACACGCAAATTGTTCGTTTTTAAAAAGAACATCTAATGAAGGCTTATTAACAAAATAACGAGGTTCAGTTGTAATGTCGCTAGCTGACGGCTAATTTAATCAGTCTGTGATGTGTATATATGTATGTATGTATGTGTGTATGTGTGTCTGTGTGTGTGTGTGTGTGTGTGTATGTGTACTGTATACTCACTGCGCCAGAACCCATACGTCTCTGCTACATGCCAGCGCGTATTGCAGAGCGTCCCTTGAGGTCGCTACATTAGACGCCCGGCGGCGGGCGAGGGCCCAACGCCACAAAGACACTCCTCCACGACGAATTGACGAGCAATATACGGTGCGACGAAGATCAACGGGAATACTGAATATATGAAATGGAGTTAAACTTGGATTTCATTGGTAATAATATGGTTTATGTTTTGTTACATACAGAAATATATAATAAATCAACTTATTATGAAGAACATAGTAAAATAGATATATATTGTCTAAACTAAAATCACGCGAACCACTACTCTTTTATTTGATTTCGATGTGTAAGTGCAGTGTATTCATATTGTTTTTATATTTAATAATTGTTTTTTATATTTCTTTTCGAGTTTAAATCATGTTGCAACCATGGAAAAATTTGATTCGATTATGAGTGAGGAATATTTCCTCACATTCCTGATGTGAAGTATAGAAAAAACATTAGAAAAATATCGATAAATACATGGAAACCAAAAACAAGTTACAAAAAATCGGAAGGAAAATGAAATGAGAGGCTTTTACAGGTAAAATACATAAGTATAAAAGCAAATATGAGTTCCCATATAATGCTAACTATCACGTGTCATATATAAAAGGTGTGTATGTTAGTTGTGAAGTCATAAATATTACATACGGGTTGTGTTCGTCGGGTTTGTCCGTGTTCATCCATTCATTGAACATCTCCATAGCGTTTTCCTCACAGCCGGGGATCTTCATACTACACGCCCACGAACTAACTGTAGTCTGATAAAACATATCTTTATATATATAATTCTTCTGTGAGTGTGTATGTCACTGAACTTCTCACAAACGACTAAACCGATTTTGATGTATATTTTGTGTGTGTTCAAGGGGATCTGGGAATGGTTTAGATTCACAATTTTGTCCGCTGGACAATGTTTTGTTAATTAATTTCTAATTTATTAGTAGTTAATGATACAAACGTTTTTTTTTGACATTAGATTTGACAACTAACTAACATGTCAATCATTCTGTCGCACTTCAAAACACGGAGATTTATGGCTTTAATAGGTAAACTCCAAAATTATAAATAAAAAAACGTAACAGATATTTCTTGATTATAGGGCGATACGAAGTTCGCCGGGTCTTTTAGTGTATACAGGGTGACTGGTGAATTACTATCGATATTTGAGGACGTGATATTTGACGATCATATATGACAAAATAAAAATTAATATAACATAAATATTAATAAACTTCTAAGTAAAGTTAACCAATAGTTATGTAATTAATTACGCATCGTATGAACACCCTACAGATTAGGTATACACACACACACACACTCGCGCGCGGCGGCGTGTTGTTGTATCAGCACGCCGTCGCACGCCGCGCACACTTGGAACACTTGGAACGGGTACACACTTTATTTATTTATACGGAAATTTGGTCAAAAATTAAGTACCTATTTTTTTTAAATAATTCGAATGAGAATCATGTACCGAGTAAGCTCCTTAAATATTGATAGTAATTCACCAGTCACCCTGTATAAGGAAACGAAATTTCATTAAACTTAAATTTGCCGCACATCAAGTTTATAATTTGTCAATAAGACGCGTCATTAATGGCGAATTATATTTAAATTTTCTTGTGCATTTCGTGACCATTAAAACTTGTAGAGAGACAAACATAGGAAAATAATTGAGAGGGTGATATTAGTGGACTTTAATTACGTCTCTTTGTATTTTTGGAGAAACAAATTGTTGTATATTTTGAAAATCGTCAATAATATAGCTCATATTTATATAAAGAACATTTTATCAATTATTTTTGGAAACATTTATTAGTTTTTTCCAACTATTCAGTTAATTTTATTAATATATTTAGAAGATATGTTTATATTAAGTCTTAATATCTTTACCTGTAACTTGACACTGTTCAAGTCGTCTCCTTTAACAATCTTCTTCATCGCCAGCCCTCCCTTCTGGTACACATTATTAAGGAGTCTTCTCACAAACTTCTGGAAGGCTCCGTATTCTGAGCTACGTTTCAACACGTTCTCTATTTTAGCTAACGCTGATAAACCTGTGTATAAAGGTAAATATTCCGTCTCCCTTTTGAGATAACTTGCCAACCTGGAATATATTGAATAACGTTTTTATGGAATTTGTCGTACAAGTTAAGAGTAATTTTTTTTGACCATTGATTTTAATTACGTGATTAGATCATAAATTTGGCGAGTATTCATTTAAATAAAACTAATATATTTCGGAAAACTACATACTCTCAACGTTTCGGTTACTTTTCAGCAACCGTGATCATTAAGACGAGATTTAATTAATGTTTGTTAGTTGGTTTTAAATAAGACTTGTAGTTTTTACAATAATAAAATACGCGTAGTATATTAGATTCATTTAATAAAAATATTAGTTTCATTTAATGATGTTCTACAAATCATTAAGTTAGTGGTATTTATTGATTTTAACGAAGTGTACTCCTATAAAGATTATGGCACGTCTATATTATAAAAAAGTCGTGTTAATTACACTGTTTATAACTCAAGAACGGATGTAGCAATATGATTGAAAATTTGTGGAGAGATAGATTAGAACCAGGAATCGGACATGGGATAATAAATTTTGTTTGATCGAAATAGAAAAAGAAAACTTAATTAATTCCAATATCTGATTATTTACGGCCTCTAGGACAGACTAGAGTTCGCCAGTCAGCTGTACATATATTACTAATTCCGAAATTAATGACGAAGTCGCGAACAAAAAATTGTATAATATAAAGTATTAGCACTACAAACACTATATAATTCTATCCTTGTCATACTAACTGTAATGTCATTCCATAGTCCAGTTGATTGTTCCAGGCCAGTTCAAAGGCGTCAGACAACATCTGTACTCGTCCTTCAACAGGTATGACGCTGTACTTGTCACTCGTCAGAGTGTTTATGAGGAGCTTCCAATTTCTTTGGTCGTAGTTAATTCTGTACGGAGCTGGAAATATTATATATAATCTACATTACTCTTTAGGAATACATATTTTTAAGTGGATCAAATATTACATATAAATATAGAAGGCTTTTGGAGAATTTTTGCAGAAAAAGTTTCAAGCCTACATTTAAAGATTGTTATATTTATTATTAGAAATAGAATAAATTGAAGATACATTCAGTGTTAATAGTTTTGTGACTATTTTTCTTATCAATGTTGCTTGAGTTGCAAACTAATATCTCATTAATCAAGCTTTGGACTCTCAAAAAGAAAGAAATGTGACAATATAATTATTGGAAAGTCATGCTGTCCTAGTGGGTAAAGGCGCGAATTCGAAACCTAGCAAATACCAATGTGATTTTTCCGAGTCATACGTATTTTCTAAGAGTATAGACACCACTGATAGATGAAGGAAAACATCGTGAGGAAAACTGGACTAATCTGATTATAAGTTTGAAATCACCAACCCGAGAGCAAGCGTGGTGATTAATACTCAAACCTTCTCCATGTGAGAAAGGGACAGCTCAGCAGTGGGCTCTGATAGGCTGATGATGTTTGATTGAAAGACAAGATACATATATCCTACTAATATTATAATTGCGAAAGTTTGTGCGTATTTATATTTATTACTTCACGCTCAAACGGCTGAACCGATTTCGATAAAATTTTGTATACAGGAAGCTGATATCTAGGAATAACACAAAGGCTACTTTAGCGCAGCTAGTGTTATATATATAAAGTATTCTCACCAATCATGTTATAGTTGAACAGGACCCACTCGTTGGGTCCGGAGCCGTGTTCGTATCTGTGTTCGTTGGTCACTCCCTCCGTATCTCCTAACCACTGAACCTTCTCACTGTCACTCCTCCTGTCTCTTTCACAGAGAACACTTAGAGGGACCCACCAGGCCTGCGAGGTCCGACCGACGCCCAGAGATAGGTAGCGTTTCTGTTGACGGAGAGGTAAAGAAAAAATTATGGACTCAAGGTTATAATTGGTATGCTTAATTAATATTGTGATCTAATACAGCTGTTAAAGGCGAATGTATAAATCAAAAATACTTCAAGAAAAAAACATACCATAAAAACTGTTTTTTATTTCATTATGTCTATAAACTGTGTTATACAATATATTCTTATATAGTATCATATACTAAGTAGTGTGATGAGACTAAGTAATTGAATTTAACTTATATGTTCCTATTTATTCATTAGTCTTGAGTTATAACTTATACCTAAATAATGTAGCACCTGACAAAAATATTGCTTTCGTAATGATTATGTGTACACATGTTTAGGTATATAATCAAGCTAAAAAAAATGTAGACTAACTCAAATGTAATCCGGATTGTATTCTGTTTGCCTAAATAAATAAACAAATTTAATATTGATTTAATATACCTGTGATATAGTGAGTGACTTGTCAGAGTAATCCCTAGTGACAGTCAGTATCGGGTACCCAGTCTGTGTGGTCCATGTATCCATTACTTCCTTTACGGTCACGTTTCTTGTCAGTCCACCACTTTTTAGGCTGGCGGACGTTAACTCCGACCAGAGATCGTCTTGAGCGGCGTTGGAGTAGGAATACTTCGTCAGATAACTGGAATTATATGGAAATAGAAGAAATCTATGAATTTGATGTGGAATTATATGGAGAGGAAGCTATAGAGAATATTTAAAGATGTAACTGTCAGTAACTAAAGAAATTTCATGTGTAAATCCCTCCTAATATTATAAATGCGAAAGTAACTCTGTCTGTCTGTCTGTTACGCTTTCACGACTAAACCACTGAACAAATTTTAATGAAATTTGGTAGAGAGATAGAGTTGACTTTGAGAAAGAACATAGAATAGTTTTTATCCCAGACTTTTGAAAGGTTCTCTTGGAAACGCAATATAACCGAACTCCACGCGGGCGAAGCTGCGGGCGGGACGCTAGTCTTTAAATATAATTTAGTTTGTTAATCAACACAATTCAGTGTCTTTTGAACTAAATGACATCATCTTTCTAAATAAGAAGTTTTTTTTTATGATCATTAAAACAAGTAAATAATATCGAAAGAAGGACTTCACTAAATGAGTTTTAACCAATAAATAGGAAATTTTATTGAATAACAGAAATTGTATATGACTAAAGAATTTATAAGATAATTCTACACTATTATTCCTAGGCAACAAACAAATTTAAAAAATTTTGTTTATATCTAAATATGAGGAAGTATTTATTTAGTTTATCGTGGAGGTTACGAAGGTTATGTTAGTACTAGCTTCTGCCGCGACTCCGTCCGCGTGGAATAGTGACTTCCGGCAGATTTTTAGTTCTTCCCACATAGTTCGAATCGAATGGTCGAGTTCCCGTAGAATTTTCAGGATAAAACCTATGTTTTTTTTAATTCACAATGAAGTACTCTTAACCAACAATATATTTATTTGTTTATTTGAATAAAGATTAATATTATTATGTTGATACAACTTAAACAAATTATTTCGACCAAATTAGGTACCATAAAAACGGTTTTTGTGAGTTAATCTTAAAGATAGACATATACTGTCGCGGACTGTTTTTTAGATTATTAAAAGAGCTATTATTCTTTAATACATATTTTTTGTGTATCTTGAACCGTTTTCACGGCGCACGCAACGGAAGGCTTCAAAGATGAAATAATTTCTCCCGTTTTTTACACATTTACCACTATATCTTTGCTCCTACTGGTCGTAGCTTGATGTTATATAGCCCACAGCCTTCCTCGATAACTGGACTATCCAACACAAAAAGAATTATTCAATTCGAACCAGTAGTTTCGGAGATTAGCGCTTTCAAACAAACAAACAAACAAACAAACAAACAAACAAACAAACAAACAAACTCTTCAGCTTTATAATATTAGTATAGATAAAGTATGTTATATTATTCTTACTTATGCAGCGCCTGCCTGAAGACGCCTTCTCCTAGGAACATGAGCATCATACGGATGAGTGTGGAGCCCTTCTTGTATGAGATCGCGTCGAAGATCTCAGAAATACGCTTCGGATCATCGAGAGGCACTGACACCTGGTTAATGAGGATAAATTATAATATATAAAGGTTTTTGATTGATATTATTTAGTTAAGAGATGAAACTTAACATCATTCAATGTATTCATATGCGTGTGTCGGGTCCATCGTTGTAGTGAGAGGAGCTTCAACAGTGACTGGGACTTGTGACCCAGGTGTAGGTTTAAGGGACCCTATCTAACGCGTTAAACGCTCACCTCCACTGTCCAAGCTCCTCTCTCTACCAAATTTGAAAAGAACCCACTCGGGCTGCCTTTAAAGTACGTTGCAAGATGAATTGAAATTCAACAAAAAAATAAGGTCTTTTTACCATCTACCCTCAGCCATGACGATCTACCTGTATAATATATATAGTTGTTATAAATAATCATTATATTATTCATACTAACTGGATGTGATGATTCCAAAGCGTCCAGACTTAAAACGGACAGCATGTTCTCTACAGCGTATGATCTATCAGCTCGCCAATTCGGTTCCACGGCTGAAACGCCTACACTGGACACAAAGGTTGCGAAACCTTCGTTCAACCACAAGTCCGACCACCACTTCATAGTCACCAGGTTGCCAAACCACTGGTGAGCTAACTCGTGAGCTACAACCTGAATGAAAAATAGAATAGAATATATACAATATACATAGCTTTTATTATACAAATGAGATATTACACTCGCGAGTATTCATTTAAATGAAACTAAAACTTTTTGGATATACTACGCGGTTTATAACATCTCGGATACAATAGAATATAGCATATACATAGCTATTATTAAACAAATGAGATCTAAGACTCGCAAGTTTTATTCATTTAAATGAAACTAATATTTTTTATTATTACATCTCGTATTAATGATCACGGTTGCTGTAAAGTAACCGAAACGTTGGGAGTATGTAGTTCTTTACAGTAATAAATCGAGTAGTATGTCCGAAAAATATTAGTTTCATTTAAATGACTTTATTTGACAATATGATGATAGTTCAATAAAGGTTTCGTCTCATATTAGGGACTGAATTTCAAGATATTAGGCAGATAATTAAAGTAAGTTTATTCAAGGAAGTTATAGGTTGATATTTTAAGAAATTATATTGACCAAATTACATATTGAACAAAATAACTCTCTATTCTAAAAGCAGATAGCCTCACAAATAAAATGCTAAGGGCTCGATATAAGGATATTAATAGCCGATTAAATAAATTAATAGCCATTATATACATAAACAAGAGTTCATTAAAACACAGTATATTTTATTCAAGTCATTCATACATGATAAAATATAATGGTCTTGCAAAAAAGGGTCACGGTAATAATTTTGTTTGGAATGACAAATGTGTATGACAAATTCTCTGACAATGTGGGCGTATGTTTGGACCCACGTTACTCGATATGAACAGTCATAAATACAATTATTTATATACTAGCTGCGCCCCGCGGTGTTACCCGCGAATTTCCGGGATTTTCGGGTTGTATAGTAGTCTATGAGTTATTCCTGGACGTCAGCTTCTTATTTACAAAATTTTATGAAAATCGGTTCAGCCGTTTTAGCGTGAAGAAGTAACAAACATACACACACACTCACAAACTTTCGCAATTATAATATTAGTAGGATTTATTTTTGGAGCAATAATGCAAATACGGTATATAGGATTATTGCAATAATTTTTCTTTTAATGAGATCTAAGCCTCGCGTGTATTCATTTAAATGAAACTAATATTATTCTGATATACTACGCTTGTTTTATTTCAGTAAAAATTACATACTGAAAAGTAAATAAAACGTCGGGACTATGTAATTTTTTTATAGAAATAAAGCACGAATAATATCTTCTTCTACGACCGGCCGCCTGCCTGACATCAACCTTCTTTTGGGAATGCATTAATCAGTGATGTCTAAAATTTCTTAGAAAGTACATATGACTCGGAAAAATCACATTGATACTTGCTAGGATCGAACCCGCGCCCTCGTGTATGAGAGGTGGGCCTTTTAACCACTAGGCCACCACTAACTACCTAACCACTTGTGGTATATCCGTAAAAATTTAGTTTCATTTAACTTTTTTTTCGTCGATGTTTATATAGTACCAACCTCAGCAATTCTCTCTTTGTTCAAGAAAGAAGATTCCTTCTCACTGAATAAGAGTGCCGTCTCTCTGTATGTAATAAGACCCCAGTTCTCCATAGCGCCCGCTGAGAAGTCAGGTATGGCCATCATATCTTGCTTCGGCAGAGGAAACGATACGTTGAACCACTTCTCGAAGTATGATAGCACTTGTGGACCGATTTTAGCTGCGTAGGATGTCTGAAAAAATGTTAAATATTGAATAATTTTGATGTCAACTAACAAATATGTCAATCTTATATATTTCTTGATTATAGGGCGATACGAAGTTCGCCGGGTCTTCTAGTGTTATATATTTTAATAAAACGCCCAATGGTTTCTCACATTTAGGAATATAATAGAAAAAGGTTAACTCGAGGCTCAAAATGACGAAACTTATTTTACAAAAGATATTTAATTTTTTTTTTAAACTTAAGCGAGACTTTATCGAAACCCTTAATAATTAGATATGAAATTTATATAATTTATAACATTATCAATTTTATTTATTTTCATTAAGTTATACTATCATTTAAAACCACGTTAATCATTAGTTAGTCGCAAAATTTGTCCCAAAATAATGTAACCACATAATTTTAGGGGATAATTTAATTGTACTTGTATTCTTCCAAGAAATTAATTCCTTTATAGTCAAATATTAAACTCTACAAGGTACGAAAGAAATACTTTAGTTCCAAATTACTTTGACAAATAAACCATAACACCAATAAGAATTGTCTTTGGCCACATTAGATACTATGTCGAATTCCAATGAAAAATAAAATACACCACAAATAAAAGGTAAATTGTCTATGGTCAAAGTACCAATAAAAGGTAAATCTTTGGTAATATTACCTGATCGATAGCATCTCCTCTGGCCCATATCCTGAATTGTGTCTTCGATAGTTCAGGTGGACTGACCACGTGAGAGAACTTGGATATAACGAACGCTACCAGGTACGTAGACATGGGAACAGACTTGGCGAAGTGGTCCCATACGAAGGAAGATTTCTCCTTCCTTAATATAACAATTTATAACTTAATTAATATGTATAAGAAAAGTATTTTAAGAGCTCAAGACTCAGAGTAATCATTGAAATGTAACTAATATTTTTCGTATTTTATTGTTAAGAAAATCATCTCGTTTGCCCGTGATCATTGTGCTGCAGAGTAACTAAAACGTTTGGATTATGTAGTTTTTAAAATAAAAAACTATGCGTAGTATTCTCCGAAAAATATTAGTTTCAATTAATATTTTTTTTCTAAGAAATAAAAAATCCCTACTAATATTATAAATGGGAAAGTAACTCTGTCTGTCTGTCTGTCTGTTACGCTTTCACGCCTAAACCACTGAACTGATTTTAATGAAATTTAATACAGAAATAGAGTTGACCATGAGAAAGAACACAGGATATTTTTTATCCCAGACTTTTGAAAGGTTCTCTTGGAAACGCGATATAATCGAACTCCAAGCGGGCGAAGCTGCGGGCGGAAAGCTAGTTATATATATTTTTATTTGATTTCAACTCACCTAAACTTCTTCCCGACCACGTCCCACGGCCAGTAATCTTCGAGGGCGCTGTATATAAATATATAATAAGTATTTATTGATATATTAATATATCGTTATATGTGTTATATTACAGTCACATACTTGTCGTGGGAGGAGGTCGCTAAAGGCATGTTGGAGACGGCCGTGTACTCCTTGCTGTGGCCGAGGACGAGGGAGAAGGTGGACTTGAACATGGGCTCGTCGAAACACGGGAAACCTTTACGAGCTGATATCGCCTCGAATTGGGTTGAAATTAAATACCTGGAACATTCAAACAATTAAGTGACTGTCTTAGGCTCAAAAGGACTTCAGAGCCTAAAAACATTTACAAAAAAAGCGACTATCATTTTGATAGACAATTACTGTTAGTTGTTATATGTATCGCTGTTCCACTTTATTAGACTATGTTCATCATAATGGTTTGGTTACATAAAAAGGATAAAACAAACACAAAACATTACGTCACTTTTTACTAATACTTCATGTACAATTAAAAATCTTCCTTTGTTAATTCAGTTAAGTAGTGTTTTTAATAACTAATAGCTACACATCGATAACCTTGAAATTATAAGTCCAGGTTTCCTCACGGTGTTTTCCTTCATAATTCAGTGATGTAAATACTCTTACAAAGTACATATGACTCGGAAAAATCACATTCGTACTTGTCGAATTCGATCCCGCACGCTCTTGCATGAGAGGCGGACCTTTAACCACTAGGCTAGCTCTTTCAACTTAATATATATATATATTAATACTTACTCTGTTTTCTGTGTCTGTCTGTTCGTGTAGGAACTAATGTACGCTCCATCCAAGCCCTTCACCAGGTTGCCGTAGAACGGTATAGTGAGTTTGTATTTCCCATTCTCCTCTAAATCCTTGTCAAGTGTTATTTCCAAGAAGTTGTAAGTATCATTAAGTTTAACTCCCGTCACTTTGGGAACGTCTTTTTGTCCAATAACACTCACTTTGTCTTCTGATATCATATAATCTTGCGCGTGGAGAATTATTTTTGAAGTGCTCCTTTTTACTGTTAGCTAAAATGTAAAAATTATATTCTTATTACTAAAAATATCTGTCAAATATAATTTGCGAATACAAAGCATCTTTTCATACAGAAATCATGTAGTATTGTAAATTATTAAGAAAAATGGAGTCTCATCAAAATAAGTTGCAATTATTTCTATAAATTCAAAAAGGTTGAAATAAATCTTAAAAAACAACTTAAAAAAGGAAAATAATTATAATGAATAATAAAACGGTATGTCAAAACTATCATTTAGTCGCAGTTTTATAATACCCTCGTATTAAATTCATAACAGAATTTCTCAAAATATTTAAATCTTTATTTTAATCAAGCCACACAAACATTAAGTAGCGTGGAGCGTACAAATTAAATAAACATGATTATAAACATCGATATTTAATCAAATAGAATCGATTTCAGATTATCGAAATCAACATTAAATTTGTTATATTGTTTCAATAACTATAGATCGTCTTTCAAACTTTTTTTTATCAATAGTATTCAATAAACAACAACATACAACAGTAATAAATATTTGAATAGAATTTTCTCAAACATATAAAAACTCTTTTGACAATGTAACTTATGACATTGGCTGTACAATTAAATGTCGAAACGTTTTGGCGAAATTAAAATACAATAAAAAAAAGGTCCATACAAAAGTGCGTCTGAATATTTAAATATCTAATTTAAAATCGCCTTGACCGATAAAATATGTATTATCACCATCTAGTATAATTTTAAGTTAACCAGTCAAACTATTGTAATTTATAACTTTTAGAGCTCACAGTTTAAATTTATACAAAAAATGTCAATACATATTTTCTTTAAAAATACTTCTTACTCTGACCTTCTATCATATTAACATTAATAAGCTTTTCGAAGGACGATTTTTTTTTAATTTCACGAAAACATTTGTGTAAAGTAAAATTCAAGTTTTTATATATTTGTAAATATATAGCTCTTGCACATTAATATTGATAAATCGTAATATATTAAATTCTCTTTAACTTCATTGTGTAACTTTTAATCAAATACTACTTTCCAATGGCTTCTACACAACTACTCATTAAATTTGAACTGTTTCAATATTATAATCTTTTTAATATTGTTTTACATTAAAAAAAAGTTCCTCTCCGCACAGACGAGAGGGTAGATCTGAACTCTAAGGTAATTTAAAAATTTACACGGTGTTGCTACAAGTTGGTCAACAATTACCCAGAAATGATAAAAAAATATTTATGTATAAGTAACCAAATATGTATACAAAATAATAATAAAGTTTTACAAATGACGACAACCCTAACGAATTATTATCACTTAAAATAATAACAAGTTGTCTTCAAGATTTAATCAAACTAAAAACTTTACAAGTATTATAGAATGATATAAATTAATTTTGATTTTAATTAGGAGTTATGCTTGAGACAAATATATTTAAGGATTTGCCATACAAAGCTGACAATAAGGAAAAGACTGGCACTAAAAGGATGTCGGCTGAATGTTGCAAACTAGAAAAATATATTCTAACATCGTGGAGGCCTTGAACTACTTGTTATATAGAAACAAATTAAATTAAACTACACAACAACATTTTGCACATTACTCTAAATCATTGTCTCCCAAACAATGACACATTCAAAGTAATCTTTATACATAAGAGTTAGTTACACTATTTATTGTTAAATAACGTCTTTACGAGTTATACTAAAAATTTGTGGAGAGATAGTTTAGAACCAGAAAAAGGACATAGGATACTTTTCTATTAATAGTATATCAAAAATATTTAAGTCACCTTATAACTACTGGCGCCATCTAGTATAAAATATGTGAGTTGTGTATATTATGACATATCCCTATTAAGAAAGCCAGTCTATTGTCTGCTATTGGAATTAAAATATTGAGTTTTATTTGGATATTTTCATGCTAAAATCCAAAAACTTCTTATTTATAGCCTTTATGAACAGAGTTCGCCCTGTCAACTATGCATGTCTAATTTTGAAAATAACGCAGACCAAGTCGCGAGCAAAAACTAGTATAGTAAAAAAATATGGAATCAAACGTCGTCATCGCACGTGTTTAATAGAAATCCTTCAAGTGACCACTCACGTTGAATACAAATTATAACATATAAGAAGTGAAATTAAAAATCAACTTGCACTGAACCTGTTACTGTGGTGAATGAACGGTCAAGTCAAATCTAGACTAGACTATGATTTAATCATTTAAAATGATCTACATTTAAATGTAACAAATCTAAATCGTTTCATTAATAAAAACTTGTTATTATAAACATGTATTTGTTTGTGAAAATGAGAACAGTTTTACATAAATATCATCGTTTTACTTTTAAAACACTTATTTTTCTTTCCATAATTCTTTTAATTACATACTATTATTCTCTGGTAATGTTTAACTCTCTTGTAGTGATAGTAACTGTGTTATTATAGCTTTACTTTCACTTAAAATAAGTAGATAGTACCTATCCGTAATATTACCTACTAGATCTAGGCTTAGACTAGTAGATCATATATTTATTTGACAAATACTTCATAAAAATAATTGTGTAAGAATACCTACAGTAATACAATTTTAGTTATACATATCAATATATTTCAGATATATGACTTCTAAATTATGTTTTACGTACAGCCTTATATCGTATCAAGAATAAAAAGATATAAAAAAATATATACATACTCGTATGTGTCAGTATGTACTTTCTAAGAGTATTTAGACATCACTGATTAATGCGTTCCCAAAGAGGGTTGATGTCAGGCAGACGGCCGGTCGTAAAAACAATTAGACAAAACTATTCACAACATGTAGGTAAGGCAGACCCTGGCTAAAGCTGGGTAATTGCCAGGTAGAAGAAGACTCGTATATGTCAGATTGTATACTTTATGAATATGATAACATTAATTTATTTTGTTATTAGATCTATGATAAGTTGCTTTGTGAAATGAACTTTATAAAACTACGTATATGTATACTATTATGAACGATTTATGAGTGAAATACTGTTAACCAGCCGTATGTAGTGACTTTAAAAACAACTAGTAATCGTGAGTTCCTATAAATAGTTGTAACTAAAATATTTTTTGATTGATAATAATTTAAACATTAATTACGCTACTAGTATCAGTATAATATAGTATAATTTTACTACTGATTACCATGTTGAAAATTAGTAGTAAAACAATTGTTGCAATCTCAATGATTTTTGAAGTGAAACTTCTTATGCGACTTCCAATATGGTTTCGTTAAACGTTTAACGCTCCTCGGAGGGGGGATAAAAAGAGACAGACCGAGAGGGAATGTGTTGCGTTCGAACTCATTTGGACAATAAATTATGACTTGTAAGTTTGTCATAAAGAAACACTAAAAATTCATTTAAAATTAATTTCTTCCCTTTCCTATTTTCATTCCAACATTACGAAGTATCACTTCTTCCACGTTAAGGGACTTCAGGCACGATTCTTTTCATTGCTTTCTTATAACCTCAAATATATAAATACATATTGTCACTTGAGATAAAAAAAACCTTTTATTTCATGCGAAAATTTAGATACATACAGTTTAAATAATATAAATTACGTTATTTACACTTAAATCACGTTTTTTTTAAGTGTTTAATAAAAACTTGTAATATCTTCCAAATTTCTACCTCCAGAGAAGTGTTTAGACCAAAATATTAATAGATTCTATCACAAAATAAACATCTTACCTGTATATCAGCGATGCCGTAGAAGCTGTAGTTAGTGTTTGGGTCCACGTCGTACATCAGCCTCAGTTGGTAGTGAGAGGGAGCGACGTGGTCTGGCAGCAAGTACTGATGACTCACAGGGACGGAACACGCGATGAACAGAAACAATGACAACTCCATGTTCTGAAAACATTAATACATATTAACACATGTAAGACAGACCCTGGCTCAAGCTGGGAAATTGCCAGGTAGAAGAAGATAGATCAAAGACTTAGAAATAGTTGAGACGATTATAGTACGTGCGTGTTTTGAAAATATAATTCAATGTATGACATATATTTATAATCAGAGTGTTAAGATAATTCTAGGTTTATTATTAAATAGAGAGAAATAAAATAATTATTGTATGAAGAAAAAAATTATAGGAAATTCATATAATTGGTTTTATATAGATCTGTTGGCGTAATCATGACAAGTGTACTATATATATTTTAAATAGATATTCTTATTTTATTTATTAGAAACTTGGTATCCATATAGTAAAATATAAAAAGTAAAAAAATCTCAATGTATAATAAGAAATATGACTGAACTATCGTCATTTCAAATTAAAAGCTTTACACTAAACGCTTATGAAAGACGTGATACCTGTATCAAAAACAAACAATTTAAAATAATGTTCATGTTAAGCTTTAGAAAGGATACCGCTTTTGTTGTGAATTTCATTCATAGGTAGGTAATATAGAGGAACTTAAGCAGTTTTTAAATCCATTTCAAACAAGAGCTAGTTTCGAATTTGGCTTGTATTGTTACGCTAATATTCTCTCAGTTGAAGACCGACTTTCTAAATATTGTTTCTATTCAAAACGGCATTGTTACAAAGCAAGAATCTGAAGAAGGGGTCCTCAATAAATCACATGAATCCTCGTAAGGATGATGATGAGTATCTCAAAATGCATTGAATGTAGTTTAATATATAGTTATATAAAGTATGTATATAAGATATTAAAGTTTTAAGAAAAAATATATAAACGAACGTGCTTAGTGATGTGTTTTGCAAAATACCAAAAATTTGTAAATATATTAAACAACGAAGTCGCGGGTATCAAGTACATAGTTTTATTTAGAACTTTGTGACTATGAGCCGAGCTCAATATATGTACCGGATTATAAAAGTAGAATAAGATATACGGGGTCACTATCAATTTAAAATTATTCAGGATCTAGGAGACTTAAAAAGTAAAAAGAATGCAAAAGAAATTGACTCATAGTGAGAAGACTGTGAGGTTTTTTAATGTATTACAGAGTCATATGAACGAACTATCTTTCTGATAAACTCTAGTCTAAATATATAATATAGTAAATGGTTTTACTCGAAGAAAGGCAACAAAGTCATTGGTGGCCTAGTGGTTAAAAATTCCCGCCGCTCATGCACGAAGGCGCGGGTTCGATCCTGGCCCGGGCAAGTACCAATGTAATTTTTCCAAGTCATGCACTAAGAGTATTTATACATCACTGATTCATGCGTTGCCAAAGAGGGTTGATGCCAGGCAGGCGGCCGGTTATAAAAACATTTAGCCAAAACTACTCACAACATATAAGGCAGAGCCTGGCTAAAGCTGAGAAATTGCCAGGTGGAAGAAGAAAGGCAACTATGAAAAAGAAATAAAATAAATGGATGAGGAAGAACATTTAAAGAAAAAGGCCTCTGATATCAGTTATCACAAAAAACATATCAGTTACAGCCTTATTTTAAATTCTTAATATTTAAAACTTCTATCAGAACCTTAAAGTTATTTTTTTATACAAACCTGTATATTAAAGTTTCAATTTTAAATAACTTAACAAATAATATATAAGTCAAATACTATCCTTACATTTGTAAATAAATATTATTGTAACGATCACAATACAACTCTTCGTATAAACGATTATTGATGACAGAATGGCTTCTAAGCTGTGCATTATTAAATATGTATGTGTCTACGACCTTGCTTTAATATTTACGCGTTTACCTAAACAAGGTATGTTCACAAAACTATTATTTTATTTCATTTGTTTACAAAAATATAATCAAAATGAGAATTTACTTGCAAAGTTAAATTAAATGTTACGGTTCATTTATGTATGTATTTTATATAAATAGTAGTAAAAAAATGTTTTATTTACAGAATACGAGACTAAAATTACTATTAAATATAAAGCAAAAGTTATCAATATATGTTAATATCACATATTTATTTATACGCGTAAATATTCCCAATATTTATTCCCAAAGAGGGACTGGCAGGCAGGCAGACCCTGGCTAAAGCTGGGAAATTGCCAAGTAGAAGAAGAAGATAAGTAAATATATATATGTATATATATATATTTTTTTAAATATTTTTAATGATACTCGTACAATGTGTGTATGTCTTTACATTCGCTCTATAATCATAAACCTTCTTATATGATAATTCTTCAATTAATAACAATATTTATTACATAGCACCCATGTCCCGCATACAAGTGACGCCTCACGGTCACACTCATCATAAATACCATACATTTATAAAGATAATCACTTTATCCCTACTAATATTATAAATGCGAAAGTAACTCTGTCTGTCTGTTACGCTGGCACGCCTAAACCACTGAATTGATTTTAATAAAATTTGGTACAGAGATAGAGTTGACCTTGAGAAAGTACATAGGATAGTTTTTATCCATGACTTTTGAAAGGTTCTCTTGGAAACGCGATATAACAAAACTCTTGCTGCGAAGCTGCGGGCGGAAAGCTAGTAATATATATCGTTATAATTATGACATTTTAAACATTTTTAATATTCAAAATATATGAGTATTTTACAGTATTAAAGTCCTATATATTTCAGTTACTTTAATATTAGTTTGAATGGTACTATAACATAGAAAGTATCCTTATTTTCGTTTCGAAATCTTCGCAATAACATATGTATGTATGATTGAAATTGGGAAGGTTCATGTTGAAGAGGCACAAATGTACTTATAGCTTCTTCTACCTGGCAATTTCCCAGCTATAGCCAGGGTCTGCCCTACATGTTGTGAATAGTTTTGACTAATAATTGTTTTAACGACCAGCCCCCTGCCTGATATCAACCCTCTTTGGGAATAGCACAAATGTACCTATGTTTGTGTGTATATATATATATGTATATGAAATAATTTAAAATATAATTTAGTGGTGTATAATTTAATGTCATTCCAAAAGTTAAACGATATATATTATTAACAAAATATATTTTAAATATTCAACTGATAAGTCTGGAACTTATTTTAATAAGGTTTTCAAGTAATATAGTGGAATGGCTATTAAATATTTTAAAAAAATAAATTTCAGGCTATTAGCCCACATTCAACAAAAACTCTGTTTGAAATATGAAAATTGAGCTAATTTCTCCGGCACTAAAAAAAAAACAATATAAAGAGCGTATCAAAAATTTTAAATGTGTTACTTTTCTGACTTTAGCGACTGGAAACACGACAAAATAAATATTTCAATTAGTATTGCTACCTATTATCATTTCAATTGCCTTTGTTCTTCCACTGACATATCTAATTCGTTTCTTTTATTATATATCCTTTTTTATTTCTGGCTTCACAATTGACAATTTGATTAAGGATATTTGGATTGTTACTTTAATTATCGCTCATGAGCTACAAACATGTATGCAATTTATCTTTACCTAATTCAGTTACAACGGTTGCTACTGATTTAAATTAAAGCAATATTAAGCTAATATTTAATATTACATTTAAATTAGAAAATATACAAAGAAAATAATTGAAAAAAACAGGAATTAAATGAAAAAAAAATGATCATGTTTTGACTCTTCTCCGTGTATTTAGCATTATATATTAAAATACCAGGATAGTGGCGCCATCTATTAATGAGACACGAAAATAATAATAAATAGTTTCTTAATATGCAATATCAAATATACCAATCGATATGAAATACGTAAAATTATCTTTTTAACATTAAAAAATGTTAAGCTTATACTTGTTACGTGTTGTTAAACGTGTAATATCAATTATATTACATTTTATTATACACAGCCTCATTGATTTAATTTAAACATAGATACATATGAATAGATAATTATCGTAAAAGACAATTAATTATTGAACGAGAAATAAATGGACCATAAGGAAAACGGTTTGAACAAATAAAAATAATGGAGGTAATTAAAATACTGACAAAGGAATGTTTTTAAAAAAATAAGATTAGAAAAATAAAAAATATATTTTTAAATAAAGTTAAAAGAAAAGTAAAGAAAATTCATTGATTAATGAACGATTGACATTTAGACATTTTTTACAATAAATACTTTAAAAAACAATAAATACATATATAGTGTTAGGACTACTTAATATTTTTTGACAAACCGAACATAAAAACTACCTAAAACTATTCTTTCAACCTTTACATGTACTACATATATGTAGGTAAAATCTGCATATTTAATAACAAAACATTAAAATACCCTAATACAAGTTTTCATCACGAGACTACAAACGGAACGTCCCCAGTTTTCAAATCGTATATATTTTAATATAATTGAAGCTATTTATAACTTGTCTCCGCCCAGGTTGTGAAATTTCAGGGGTACGGAACCCTCGGTACAAATCCTAAACTACCCACAAATCCTTTATAAGCTTAAATGAGCGTAAACGGATGACTTACGAGTACTCTGTAGATAATGAGATCTAAGATTTTTGTCAGTTTTATTCATTTAAATAAAATTAATATTATTCGGATTATATTACGAGTATTTTATTATTATAAAAACTATATAATCCCGACATTCACATCTCATCTGCCCGTGATCACGGTTGCTGAAAAGTAACCGAAATGGCGGGAGTATGTAGTGTTTTACAAAAGTAAAAATATTAGTTTATAAACCGACTTCAATATTACTATAGAAGAGTCATGAATGTTAAACTCGAAACGTCTCGTCTGTAGTTAATGACGTAGAAACTTGTAGTTAGCAAACTTGTAGTAACGATGTAGAAATTGTAATAATAGTAAGGAATTTATTGAATGAATTATATTATTGTTATTAAATGTATCTATTGTTGTAACATCATTGTCTTGTTTTCTTTAATGAAATACCTTCGTCATTATTACTATACAATGTTACAAGTTCATTTTCAAACAA